TTAAAGTAACCTAACCAAAGCTTCTAAATCTAATCATAGAAAGCAATGCCAATATAAGGCACTAGAGGGGATAAGTTAAAGTGGACCTATCATGCTATATTTTAATAATATGTTGTAGGGCCATACCTATATAAAACATGTCTGTGAAGTTTTTTTTTCAAAATACCAAACAGATCATGCATTTTAGCCATGCCTCATTTTGCTCTATTTGCTGTATTCCAGCACTGTCTTCACAAGGGCTGATTCTGTGACACTTGGTGAGTTCCCTGACACACCGGGGACACATATTCATGTATAATAGAAGTACAAAAGTGCATTTTGCATGATAGGTCCCCTTTAAAAGAGTGGTGACTGTTCACATTAGCTGTAAAGTAATGTAAACATTCATAAACAATCATGAAGTCTCATGTGATAAATAAGGTTATGTTTAAGAGGTAAGCACTCCTGCACTCAAGAGTGGGTGTCAACATGTTGGCCTCAAGGATATCATTCGCTAAAACTTGAAAGCGTTGTGGTATCAAATTCAATATCATGGACTAATGCAAATGAGCCGTTTCCACTCATTATTGTTCAGACAAACAAGCATCTGTTAATGCTTGTGTGATAACATTGCACCTACAATATGAATGAGCCGGAGCTTAATGTCAGTGAGCAGAGTTTAGAATAGAGCTTTGTGCTTAGCAGCTAATTTGCCCTGAAAATATGATCGGGATAGGGGAATTCTAAATGGATGTAAACAAAACATGTCAGGACTGAAAAAAGGTTTGTTCAGGGTTGTAAATTGTAAGTCTTTTTTTGTTTGTTTATTGATTACAACTGAACCATTCAAAAACCTAATGTACACCTCTAATGTTACTGAAAATACATTTAGCCTTGATGGAGATCAAATCTCTGCACCACCGGTAACAAGCCTTTGTGTGTTTCTAAAGTGGTCAGCAAATGAAGCTGTCAAATCAAATGTCTTGAGACAGCTCGTAACGTGTACATTGTGTGTTTCTTATCATGTGGTATTTACATTTTATCTAACTTTGAATCAGCACAAGGCTAAACTCCCAACAGCAAAACAAATACTTGATGAAGATGAGTGTAATCACTCAGGACTGGCAGTATAACCTTTTTAATGCAACGGTATGGTGGACCAAAGCCAAGACAAAATACAGTCTACACACCATAGAAGAGCTGGCAGAGCACCCCGCTGCGGCGAACAAGTTCTCAGTTTTTCATTCCCCATAAATATACTCTTCAGCTTGTTGAAAACAAAATGAAGGATGACAAAGTGACTTCCAGTCAACCACTGCCTGTGGCAATTGTGCCATTTCTTTCACCTTAGTGCATTTTTAGGTGTCATGAGGGATTAAGTCATTGCTGAGCTTCTTGACAGATGGTTCCTGGCAACACCTCCTTACACCGACAAACTATCACTCAATGCAGTCAGGGGATGCTTAAATGAAACAGTTTAGCACGAGGGGAGATCCATCCATAGAAATTGATGTTCTTTTTATTTCACGTTTAAAAAGACACATTTACTCATGAATCCCCCACGCGCTGGCTCGTGTGTCTTCCTTTCAAAACAAGAAGCCAGCGTCAGACAGTCTTTCTTTTATTTTTCCTTTGCAAAGTATGTCCATTTGTCAGCTAATCCCAGGCTCTTACTCACCTGTATTTATGGTCACAGATCACTCTACATCTCGTCTACACTTAAGAAGTCTGTCATCAGGTAAGGAAAGATTCCTTAGGGTGACATTATTATTTCCATTACTTCTTGGAAACTGACATTCCTAGACACTCCTGGCTTCTTGTATTTACTGCAAAAAAAAGTGTGTGTTAAAATGACCAGGATTTATTATTGAACTTCTCCCTATCGTTGTCCTCAAACATAAACAGTGGTGTGGTCTGCTTGGCTGATGGCCATGTGTTGATGTCAGGCTGCATCTGCCTCTGTGGTGGCAAGATAAAGAGCAGCGTTTGACCTGGACAGACTTCCGTTGACACGGACATGAGGCCTTAAAAGTGTGTGTGTGTGTGTGTGTGTGTGTGTGTGTGTGTGTGTGTGTGCGTGCGTCCGTCCGTAATAATGACTTTCTCTAACATTATTTATCCCACAGTATATTCATATGTGTGTGTGTGTGTGTGTTCCAGTAGGGGGAGCTGTGTAGGTCCATGTCACTGTAAGTGCTCTACATGACCATCTGGCTCTCACTGTCAGATTGGAGGCTGAACTTACACTTAACTGTTTCAGTGCCAGCATCTCCTTCACATCTATACGTAATACATTAAAGAAAACATGGACAATAAACAGATGCAGAGATTGCCTTTCTGTTGACAGTGAAAAGCACATCTTTGGACGATATTGTTATATGAACTCAATAAATCAACCATTCATAACAAAGAATCAGAGATGTAAATGATTGATGAAGGACGCGCTGTGATTCTGCAGCTCTTCTTGATGCCACTAGACTGACAGATTGTGTATCTGCTTCACCATGGCGAGGGAAGAAAGCAAATGGTTAATTTCTCCTTCTCTGACTGCTGATGCAGTGTTCCAGCTGAACCCCTTGGAGAGTCTCTCTATGTACTCACTGTGCTGTAGTGCTTGCCATTCTTCAGAGTACCCTGCTGACCTCTCTTTAATTAGGCTAATTGAAATGTGAAAATAACCATTTTCTGGATTGCTTATTATTTTTGGGCAGTTTAGAATAAAAAGCATGTGTATACATTCAGAGGGAAAGAAGAGCTGTCCTACCTCTCTCCTTGGTTGACCTTGTTGCCAGGTTCTAATGAGTGTGGCCCCTGCTGGCTGGTACTGGTCTGTCCCCCTGGTCTCTGGAGTGGCCTTTCATCTGGTTTCAGTATCATCTCCTTGCACCTTTGGCATTCTAAATGCTACCTTGCCTCTGTATTTCCGGAGGGAGCATCCCCCACCACCGGCCTTAGTGTTTTCTAGAGACGAGAGGGATTTAACAGACATACTTGAGACAAATGGTGAGAAACGGATTGTGCTCGAGTGCTCTTGGCTGGTCTACAGGTGGTTCTTGGGTTTTATTTGTGTTCTTAGCTCCTCTGTTAACCCCCAGAGCGTGCCCACTGTTGGCCCTAAGCATTGACAGGAGCCTCCCCAGGGCAGCATGAGCTTGTGGAGAGCAGGGTGAGAGAGTGAGAGAGAGAGAGAGAGAGAGAGAGAGATGATCTGAGGAAAAAAGCAAGAGAGAGAGAGAAAGAGACCCCTCTCTTTCTCTCTCTCTCTTGCTTTTTTCCTCAGATCATCTCTCTCTCTCTCTCTCTCTCTCTCTCACTCTCTCACCCTGCTCTCCACAAGCTCATGCTGNTCACGCCCCCCCCGGCCTACCGTGGTCCCCAAGCCCCCTCCTCCACTGCTGCCACCCCCGCTCCACATAGGGGTGCTGCCTCACATGCCAAGACCGCTAGCTGTGCCGCTACAACCACCGCTGCTGCCACCACAACAAGCACCTCCACTCAGCTCTACCAGGAGCGCACGCACACCACACACACAACATCTTCCACTGCCATTAGTCGCAAGACAGGGGAGCACCACCGTCCCACCCCCACTACCAAGAAAGGAGAGTCCCTGGAGACGGTAGTGGACTCTGGGATTGAAGAGCTGGACAGCCGCAGCAGCAGTGACCACCACCTGGACAGCATCCTGGCCGGGGTCCGGGGAGACAGGCTGGACCGCGGGGAGAGGGGAGGACGGATGGGAGGACGGGGTGGGACAGGGGTATCAGAAAGGGGAGGAGATTTTCTGGAGTCGTACATGAGCTATCTGGACGGACAATCTTTTGAGATGCAGAATGCGACAGCAGCCACCTCCACCTACCCGAAAAGCAACAGGTTCAGAGAGGGAGGTCGCACCAGTGACATCCACAGGCAGACCAGCACTGCTCCTGCATCCTTCCACTCCCACAGACAAAGGGAGGAGCAGACGGAGGACGAGGCTGATGACGGAGTGGATGAAAGTGGCAGGGATCGGTATGGGTCGAGGGACATGCATTTGGGACGTCCCGTTTCACCGTACTTTGAACGCCCTCGCACCCCTGAGATGAAGCCTCTCTGGGACGAGGGGCAAATGGCCGGTGACCAATCTGCAGCACTTTTAGAGGGGAAGAAGATTTACCCTCCTGCATCCAGTATGAAGCCAAGCATCATAAATGAGCTGAACAGTAAACTGCAGCAAAGAACCAAGGAGACCTGGAGCAGCCAGAGAGCGCTGAGCAGACACAGGTACACATCAGAGAGAGCCTCAGCTTTATGTTTCTCAGTGTTACAGCATGTTGTTGTTGAAGCCTTCTGTGAAAAACGCTGTACTGTCTGTTTATGTCTTGTGTACGTGTTTTGTCTATACTGTGTAAAACTCTCCTTTTATTTTTCTGTCTTTTCATGTGTTTCTCTCAGAAGCAGAAACAGGTAATTGTGCCGGTTCTCCGCTCCTTTTTTTTCTGTCAGGAAGAACATCACACATTTGTTTGACTTTACAGCCTATTGTGATACGCAAGGAGAGAAAACGTTGTTAAACATGTAGAGCACTAACTTGCACACAATCAAAAAAGCTGAAGACCACAAGTCCTTGAAATAACTGGAAAATGATGTTTCCCTTAATGTGTGTGCATTATTTTCAGCTTACTGTTTTAGTTTTTTCTCTAAGGATTTATCTTGTAACAGTTTCTCTCCCTCTCCATTCACAGATTTTCAGAAGACTCAGCCTCAGCTCTGAGCCCCCCCTCAGTTCGATCCACGTCACCGTCTCCGATTTCATTATCGCAGCCATCATTGTCCCCGTCCCCGACCCCGACCCCTACTTCCCAGTACCCTAACTGGGGACGTTCCCCATCTCCTCAACCTCAAGTTGCCTCTCAGCCTCCACGTTCCCAATCCCCCCTGTCCCCAACAGGTTATGCCCCTTATCCAACTTCCCCCAAACACAGACCTGTGTACCGGACCAAAGCACTAGAATTTCAGTTCATCCCGAGTCGAGAGTCCCGTAAAGCAGAGTCACACATGATGCAGCGTAGGCGAGCACCCAGCCCCCTCATCTCCCCCTCAGAGAGGCCCAAGGTGGGTCCACCACGGCCATCTTCCCTCCCGCTGCTCCCTACGACTCCTCTCTACAGTGCTATGTACGACCTCCGAGGTTCAGTTACCCCACCATCACCTGGAAACCCTCTTGGAGATCCTTACTTCTCGCCTTCCCCTCCCCTGTTTGCCCCCTCTGGTGCCCCTCCTCCTCCAAACAACGCTTTAGTTGTTTCTCGCTCCCTCTCCCCAACTCACTTCCTGTCGGGGACCTCATCTCCGCCCATGCATCCTCACCCTCCACCTACATGCCTGAGTTATCCCCATCTACCGCCCCCTTCCCCTACAAAGCCTTTTGCCGCCAAGCCGCTGCCCTACTGGACCAAGTACGACGTTGCAGACTGGTTAGGATACCTGAACCTAGGAGAGCACAGAGATCGTTTCCTGGACAACGAAATTGACGGCTCCCACCTGCCCTCCCTAACGAAGGACGACTTTCTGGATCTGGGTGTAACACGTGTCGGCCACCGCATGAATATAGAGCGTGCCCTGAGGACCGTAATGGACAGGTATGGCTTCAACTTTCCAAGTCAATTATTTCAATCATGAAAGATTTTTTTCTTTTTTATTAGAGATATTTATTTACATTAATGGACACATCTTAAGGGAGAGGTGCAGCTGTAAGTAATATAAAACAAAAGACCTGTGGGTTTAGACCTTTATATACAGTATACAGTCTATTGTTTAGACACTGGTTGAGATGTTCAGTAAACTTCTGATGATGTACTGACGATGCCTGAAGTTACAGCCAATGATAGGTGAACAGATTTGACAGCAGCACAATGATTGGCTTCATGTAGTTGGGGAGCTAAAAAGGTGACTGCCCATAGTCAGCTTAGTAGGTTTAGGGTTAGAGTTAGGGTTAGCAGCTAGAGTAGTGAGAGAGAAAAGGAGTTCAGAATGAAAATGATGGTAGTCTTTCTGATTGAACTTGTGCTCAGCTTAATTTGGTTCCATGCAGTTTTCTCTGTTAATAAACTTTTCTTCTTTTTTTTTCATGGACAGATGTATCCAAAATACATATTAAACTATATTTAATACAAATAACACCTAGAACCAGAAGCTTCCATGAAAAATGTTTTCATTATAACTATTTTATTTAAACTAGCTTTTCATTTAAAATTGTAATTTATTGTATGTTTTTTTGTTTCATAAAGCAAGATTCCATTACAAAAACACTATGAAACAACCCCATTCACTCCCATTCGTTTTACAAAACACAATTTGTCTGTTCTTCTGTCCTCAGGCTGTCCAGCAGCCCATTTCCCATTTCTGTTCTCTCACCTCGGGATGGACAGATTGACAGGAGGAGGGACGATGGGAGTCGGAGCTGAGGTTGCAACCGCAGAGGCAGGAGAGAGAGGAAGAAGGGTTTGAGTCAATGAGGGAGGAAGGCACAACTGCTGCTATCCATGGTGGATTCACACAACAAAATAGGGGGGAACATATTTACACAGAGAGTGACAAAAAGAGGGAGGCAATTCCCAAAGGGAGATGGAAACACATGGAAAAAGAGATGATGATCCATAAAGAAGCCGGCTGGCGCGCCCCAGTTGTGGCACGCTGATTTACACAAGTACACTCCCCATATGCATGCACAGTCACACCCATCAACAAACAAGTAACACAAATACAGTTTAGTCCAAAATGCATACGAAGACACTATGGCGGAAGCAGATATAACAAGGGAAGCGATGAAACCGAACCAAATACTTGACAGGAACAATCAAATGCCTGTTAGATTTCTAGAATAAAATCAAGCAGGTGTTTGATGTTGCCGAGTTTGAAAATAAGAAAAGGTGTCCGTCAGTGTGCAGCTGTTTGTTGCTCTAACCCCTCAGCCAGCTGGTTAAATCTGTTCAGGTTTAAGAGTGGAGCCCACCAAGAACATTTAGAGTGCAATCAATGACAACCCTGCCCCGTGTGAATGGATGTTAGCTTTAAAATATGTGTGAATATCATTGAGGAATGCGTATTTGAGGGTGAGGCTGCAGGTTTGATGCTTTGTCTAACTGCATGGTCAACGTAGGATGGCGTAGGGCAGTAAATCATGAAGACCGATAACTAGCGTCCTTGATTTAAAACCAAGGATGTTGCTTGGGTTCGGCTTTAATTGGTTTACGTCCTGTTTTTACCTCACCGCTGGTAGGGCTCCTTCCTCACTGCAGATCCTGTGGTCAGGATCTAAAGTGTTTCTCTATAGCTCTTTATCATCTGCAGTCTTATAACGACATATATACAGACTGGTCACTGTATCACACATTTGTAGCAAAAATAAGTGCCCAGACCAACAAAATAATATAAAAAATGTAAACACTGATACACACACAGGCACCCGTGTTACTACTATACACGCCTGCATGCATACACCAACATGTAGACGAACACATACCCACAAGCACTTGCAAGTGGTTGTGTTAGAGTTTATGGGACACCTTATATATAGACACACTATATGTTTGGATCCGAGATATACTTATACGAAAGGAGACAGACTGTGCTTTCAACGTAACAATGTGAAGAGATATCCCTCGAGGATTTTATTTATGGAGAAAGACTTCCTTAGCGTCTGGACAACTGTTGAACAACCATTCAGACCTTCCGTCCGAGGGAGACTGGAAAGGAGAGGGGAGGGGAAGAGGAAAAACTGCCATTTACTTGCTCTTTCCCAACCAATCCCCCCTTCTCCTTCCAGGAGAGGCCCCCCCCCCTCTCTCGACTAAATCCAGGAGGAAACAAACAGCCACCCGGCCGAGGAGATCTGGGAGAAACGCTTATATCGAGTTTTAATACTATGATTGTTCTTACAATTTTTAAACTTTAAATGGGAATACTGGAATACTAATATTGATATGAAGAGATGTATTATTAGTATATATCATTACTTTCATCGTCCTTACTGTTATAGTTTCAGAGGGTTCCTGCTTTCTGCCTTTGGTGGCTGATATGGCGCTTTGGGCAGAAGGTTTATTTTCTGACTGTGATGAAGAAAATTGTCTTGGTTATATATATAAAAATATATGTGTATACTATAAATAGGTATTTTTGAATTGAAGATGCATATTATTTTGTGCACGGTACCCTTAACGTTGCTTCTATGTGATAAGAAGCATTGCAACTTAATGTGAAGCACATTTCAGATACACTTTCTTTTTCTTTCTCCTTAGGCTACTGCTACTCTTTTGTCAAACTGTGAGGCATTTGACAAGGACAATAATGGCTTAAAATATATATTTGTTTTCTCTTTTAAAAGTTAGTCGCCACTTAATAATATGCAGATACTGAATGTGTTGCAACTCTTAAATTAGGGATGCCAATACACAAAAGTAAAAATCTATGTCATTGTTTTTCCAAATCATATTGCACTAAATGTCTTCTATTTCTCCATCAGCTTCCACTGCACATGAACATCTCCTTACAACTTCAGTCCTGATTTCTCACTGTTGATGAGATCAAATATAAGGGCTCTCTCATGACTTCTCTACCTTGAACAACAGCTCACCTCTCCTGCTGCTTCGAGTCCTCAAACACATATCACACGTGCGTTTTACATCGGGGTGTAGATGGGGAGTTTCCTTACTGCTATCTAGCCTCACTGTTTTTGCAAAAAGATACATTAGTTTTCAAAAGTGCACATACACACAAGCACGTGAATGAGGAAAAGTGGTTTTGTCTCCGTAATTGCTTGGTGCTGGTGGTCAAGGAGGGATTTTATTTGAATGCAGGGGAAATGGCAATAAGGACGATGAAAACAATGGTCATCTAATTATGGTTCAAGATGTAAAAAAAAAAGTCTCAAAAGTTCTAAAGAATCTCTGTCTTCCAAATAATGTTTAACATAAAGCTACAATGTATTTATTTAACTGTTGTGCTTTCTATACAGTTTGACTTGTTCTCTACATCTTCCACTGTTAATGACCTCACAGTATGAAGAGCTCCAGTCTGTTTCCCATTTGCATCTACATGGCATTTTCTGCAGTCGTGCATATGTGCTGTCTATGCTCACAGCTAATTGTTTATTACCAGCATATTATGCAATGACCCTATTTCCATTAGCAACTGTGGCTTTTCACCTTTCCCTTTAAAGGTTTTTAAGTGTTTTTCATCTAAAAAGGGTGTGTTTCTGATAGGGTGAACAAGCAGAATGTGGCATCCTTTCCAAACTTATTTCAGAGCCAAGTTGTACATGTCCCCTTCAGGTCTCTAAAACATTTGCTAGTGAAAATAAGGCCAATTAATAACTGTGGATAAGACATCTTGAAATATTCACTTACTGATAACATGATGTTCACATTAAGTGACATACAAGAAACATAATTTTTTGGAGAATTGTCCTTAATCCTTTCTTTGCGTTTTAAAAGTAATTAATATATATATCGTGGCTCATCGTTGCCGTCAGGAGAACAAGATGATGGAATTGGTCTGACTCTATAGAAAGCATTTATTTTCCTTTAAGAGATCTTTTAAAATATGAGAATATGAACTGGTGAAAGGTAACTTACAGAATATATATGTATATGTGATATGCATATACAGTACACATTCATATACACATGAATTTCAAATGTTTTAAGAGATAATAAATTGTTAGAATTATAAAGATACAGAAACAAAGTTCTATTTTATTTTTTCTGTAATGAAAAATGTTTTTATTTCCACCTGGACACCTACAGTATATTTACCCTGTGGAGTTTGGAAATCATTTCTAAACATTTTTTACTCACTTTAAGGTCCCAAATATATCACCCCAGCAAACAATCATGTTAATTTGGGTATATGCTATGTACTTTAACAGAGTGAGATCAAATCCATTATTAGTGATATCAAATCTATTTCAACAAATAAAACATTCATTCCATGCCCCTACACTTAAGCTAACGTCAAGTGTTTTATTGATAGCCTGTATTTAGAACAATTGAGTAAATCATTTGAAGGCCATAAACAGAAATGGTAGTTTATGCAGTGGTTATGAGAATCTGTATTTCTTTACTCAAGTGTAACATTTGTAGACAAATTAAGAATCAAAGTAATTTTAATGCTCTTTTATTTGATTAAAAATCCAAGCAAATGCAGAATATTAAACATAATACAAGCAAATGACATTACAACATTTTTATAAAGCAGATGAAGTATGCAGAGGACCAGTACCTGGAAGAGAGCAAAGAAGAGCAGTCAGAATAGTCTGAATCCCACAAGGTTAACAAAATGCTTTCAGAAATCATCTCCTCAGAGCCTGCCTTGTCAGGGGCAGAGCTGCACTTCTGTCAACACTGTATTTCTGAGCCCAGTGCTATACATCACAAGAGATCAACATTCACTATGTCTGCAGGAGATTCATGAAACACACCTGATGCAAGTCCAGCCTTTAAATGGTTTTACCACCTGAAACACCTGAGGGAAAAAAAAGGAATAGTTAGCCTCTTGTCATAATTCCTACTTTTGATCATGATGAACCCATTTTCTCCTCAGAAACTCTGGCTTGTCAGGGCCAAAGATGCACTTTTATCTTCATACTGACTAAGAGCCCAGTGCAAGTCATCAAGGGAGAAAGACAGCCAAATCCACCCTGGCAGTAGATGGTATGTACATCTCCATACACAAGAATAACCTCCTAAACACCTGTTATTAAAGTAACAAATGCAAATGTAGAATCCTAGTCTTTTCGTGGTGTGGAAGCAGGCAATTAGAGGAAGCGTGGACCTTCAGCAGATACAAGTTGTGGCGAAATGTATGAATGGTTTGTTTAAAAAAAACAAACATAAAAAGTCCATGATCATCCAGAACAAGGCGTCTTATTAACAATTTGATCAAGTATCTGTCTCCAAAGTTTGTAGAGCAATTATATTTGACATACCTGTAAAGTCCAGTCAAGGAGAGGTTCCACGTGTTGAAAGTGATCTGAAGGGACAGAAGCATGTTTTAATGTGTTGCCATGACTATAACATTAGACCAGCATTAGCTGATTTTCTCCTCAGAAACTCTGGCTTGTCAGGGCCAAAGATGCACTTTTCTCTTCATACGGACTCAGAGCCCAGTGCAAGTCATCAGGGGAGGAGACACTGCATCAGACTGTTAGCTACCATGCTAATGTTAGCTGCTAGGCTCACCACGTGGAGAAAGGCCCACTGGGTTACTGATTTTCCGGCTTAAAGATGTAAGTTGCAGTAACGGTCTAGAAATGGGTGAGTTTGGTTCTGACCTACAACATCCTCAACAATAGTGTTGTGAGTTGCACATGCTTTGAGTGTTAACCACATGTCACAATTTTAAAGTCCACATTCAAATGACCAAAGTATTTTTTTGTTATACAGCCTTCACGAAAGCCTCCAAGAATGTGTTTATAAGCGTTGATCAAACATAATTTGCTCAACTTTAACGTTGTAAATTACGTTAGCGTGGATGTTAAGTTTAAGTAACCCTTATTCATCCTCAGATCAGGAAAAGTCGGTGGGATCACTGTATTTGCATCAATGCAATACTTAACTATTCAATACCTACTATATAACTCAAGCATGTTATTATTGAAGTGAAATTATTTTTAGATTATTATTTGTATCTTACCAGTTGCGTCGGTGTTACGATCGAGGCAGGCAGAAAGCAAGTGACTGCTGCTGGCGTTTACACGTCTTTTAAATATTGGCAGTTTGAGGCCAGTTTATAAAACCATTGTCGCCACCTACTGGTCTGGAGCAGAACATTGACTAAAAGACAAAAACAAGTCCCAACAGTGGCTATTAATAATATTCTTAGGTGGCATATTCCAAATTCCTTGAGAAAGTATCTCCACCTCAATATTTGTGTAAATAAAATGAGCTTGAAATAGGCTAGGTGTTGCTTTCTTCCTGTGTTGTAAGCATAACATTGTGTTTATTTACGTCACTGTTACACTAAAATGCCTAAATACATGAAAACTCGCACACATCTTTACATTGTCACAACCAAATCTCAGTCAAAGGAGGATAAATGCTACAGGCCTTGAAGCATTTTCTCTGTATGTTAGCAGGTTTAAAAAACGAGTAAGCCTATAGCTTCAAGCACATGTAAGGAGCGAGGCAACCTGCTTGTAGTACTATCAGGTGTATGTCTGCCCTCTCGTGGCCACAGTGAGTCACTGCAGCTGCCTTCTACTTGTAAAGTAAAACGCAACACCACAGTTGTTCTTCCGAATTATAATTTCAAAATAAAACATTTACAATACATACTTGTACATTTTTAATACACGATGATTGACATTGTATTGGGAGGGAAGCTTTGCACCACAGGTTGCGAGTCTGAGGCAGGCAACCTGTGTGTATTTACAGTCTACCTACCAGTAGCTACTTAATCAGAAATATGTAGGCCTATGGCCTCTAGTGGTTAAATAAGGAATATCAACTGCTCTTTTCTAGTGATGTCAAACCAGAGCCGTGGAAGAGATAAAAAAAACACAATATAGTAGTACTTCCGAATAATACTTTCAAAAATAAAACGTTTGCAACAGACAGACGAAGTTATGCAGAATGAGTAAATTTACTAAAAACTAAATGGATATAAAATACAAGAGACATTTTCAAGTTTAACAAACGTTACAACATGTTTCTTGACATATCAGTAACTTTAAAGGAGAGTTTATCAAACTCCAGCAGGTTGTTTATCAAACCCATCAATTTACACTTTGCTAAATATGTTCCTCATCTCTTACTGAGACTTATGTTGTTTACTTATGCATAATATTCTAATAGTAAAAATCAAAAATAATCTTTGAGCCAGACACATTTATGTTTATTTAAATAGTTCCCACAGAATGCTATGTAAATCTCCCCTCTGTGGGATGAATAAAGGTATTCTGATTCTGAACTGCAGATGTTCACAAAAAACACAATGGGAGACATTAATTTCTTGGAGCGTTTCAAAATAATACTTGCAGAAAGGTTTAGTTAGATTTAGATGAACACTAATATGACAAAAATTATAAGCGATGTTAACGGTAAAAAAGACAAGACGACTGATAGGCAGATGTGTCAATTGCTCAATAAACACAGATCTTAATAAAGCATGCTACTATCTATACATTTGATGATATGACCTTAACTGAACAGATATATATCACATAATACATTTTTACTCAGTTCTGATTCAGTATTCACAGATGCTGTACTAAGGTTTTTTCTGCAGATGTCAAAAGCTTGAAAAATAATCAATAATTTTAAACAAAAGTCAATGATTTTAAACATGCAGGTCTTGAATTATATTTTACATCACTCTGGCCACAGTAGTTTGGTGGGTAGCCTGAGGAATGCCTTTTCAAAAACAATCTCTCATGAGATGCTTTAATTTGTTGGTCCAAAGTTAAACTAATATTTAATTCACATCAGCATAAACAATGTTCATGTACTTGACTACACAAGCCAAACAAATTCAAAAAAACCTTCATTTAAAGTGAACCCTTTGTAGACAGAGTTTCAAGTCTATATTTGCATTTTGCTTAGGGCTATGATATAATTAATATACAGGTTGTGGTGGAACTTCTTCTACTTTCCAGACGAAGAAAGCTGATGTCAAATTCCTAGTATTATTGTTACTATGCTTTAAAGAATGTACACTGTGCCACTGCATCACGAAACATTACTAAACAGTGACCTCATTCCACTTGTTGTCATTGTCTGCCTCTTTTAGTTATCACCATTTTAATCACAGGATCCCACAATGTTGTCATGACATGTCTTTTATCATTCCAAATGTGACTATAGTATACCTAACACAGGACTACTGCTTACTGAGAGCAAGTTGTAGCTGGGCGTAAACTTTGCCACGATACCAGCTGTCTAGTTATTTACTTGACATGTTCTGGCAAGGCAAAGTTGCACAAGCTCAGCCTAGCATGAAGTCAGAGCGGGAGTTGGGAGTGTGAAAAATTATTCTTCGGGGGTCTCTGACTTCAAAGAATCTCTGCATTTACCACACACACCGGATGTATCCTCCAGCTGTGGAGGCAGGCCTTACCAAACTACCCCGGGGGAACGTAAGGAGAGGAAAGAGGGGGTATGAAGTCGAGCACAGGGGGATGGAGTTCTCCTTATCTGGTCATGCTGCTTTGAGCTTGTTTGTAAAATTGTATAACATAGGTAATTACACACACACACACACACACACACACACACACACACACACACACACACACACACACACACACACACACACACACACACACACACACACACACACACACACACACACACACAGTCTCTGGCTGGGTGAGTCAGCTATTGTCTGAGTAACATAGACATCCACGCACACATAAACAAACCAACAATATGGCTCACTTCATTAAAACTTCTCCGAGTGAGGTGAGGCGAGTGAGAGGAATAGAAATAGACGATATTAAACAAGTGGTGGAGCACAAAGAACAAGAGAAGCTTCCTGCAGCTGTTTTGGAGAGAGAGGGGAAGAGAGAGGGAGGGAGGGTGTTAGGAAGGAGAAGGAGGGAAAATAAGGGAAAAAAAGGAGCCAACTCATCTGACAAACAGTGGGCCAAAGAAAGGGGAAGAGCAGGAGCAGCAGTGTCCAGAAGGAGTGGAAAATCAAAGTTGGAGAAGAAAAGGAGAAGTGTAAAGACGACAGGACAGAGAGAGAAAAGAAGCCTGAGAGTCTGTACACAAATAAAAAGTTTTTAGGCTGCCAAACAAAAGAAGAAAGAAGGGGGTTGAAGCAGAGAGGGCCCCAACATTGACAGAGGTAAGGAACTGTGAGCAGCATGTTAGCCTCCATGGCTGTGTAGTTGCATTTCAGAGAGATCTTATGGAGTGATCGAGCTCCTATTTCTGCTCTGTGTGTTCATTTGTTACTATATATTTCCTCTATGCAATGTGTGTGTGTTGTAAGTTATGTGTGACAGGGTTAGAAATGGGGACAGGGGGAGGAGCGAGTGTGTGTGTGTGCCAGAGGGGTGTAGGAAACGAGGTGAAAGAGTTGGTTGGAAGCTTCAGATGGGATCTCTTAATTTGAATGACCTTCAGTCTAGTTAGTCGTTATACAGTTTTGAAATATAAAGTTAGAGTTTAGGATACTGGGAGTACTGGGGCGCACCTTCTGACCTGCTAAGAGATTATAAAACGTCTGGTGGACCCATGGTGGAATCAGATCTGTGCTGGTAGTTGGTAAGTTATCAAGTGGGTATTGTCCACAGTATTCACTCTTACACTTTGCTTTGAGCTATCGGAAAAGCACTAAAAGAAATGTTACTAATGATTATTACTATTTAAGTGTTGAACCTGAACTACAGCTGATTCGTAATGTACATATTTTACCATTTGCTTTTATCTTACTTACTATTGAAAACTATTAAGTAAGGAGTATGGGCCTCTATCAAAGACAAACATTTGACGTTCCAGGCGTGCTTTTTTCCTACTTCTATTTATTTTAATTTGCATATATATCTAGGATTGCATTACGTTATTGACATAATTAGGACACAGCTAAATCGGGGCCCACTTAAGCCCTTTAGACAATGTTTAAATTGATTATGAAGTCTATGACATTATATTCAAAAGGCGTATGGTGCCATTACATTGATTTCAGTAGTTAGGCAAGTTGCACAGCATGCTTTCTCCTGCACACAGACAGATCATAATGCTTTTAAAGAGTATGAAATCGTATTTGAGAGGCATGCGATTAGATCACAGCTAAGACTGTGATTTGCTTGTGTACTTAAATCTTATGTACAGTTGGGATTGAATTCCCACAGGAAGTTTGCCTGTGTCATGAGGTTGGAGAGACTACGTAGTAAAAGTTGCAGGAATGCACCAAATGATTTGCTATTAGGCAGGCACAGCAGAGGACCTCCACCCCCATGTTCCTCTCAAAAGACACTGTCATGTCATACCCCGGGGAGAGCCAGCCATCGAGGGGACAGGAAGTCCAGGTCAAGGGTTAAAAGAGAGGAGATTAATTATTTTTTTCTGACATCCTGCAGACCTCAGGGTTGTATCTACGAAACCTCTGCATCAGACACAGGATATACGCAAGCAGAGGAAGATTCAGGCCAGTAGAGACATGGTATTATGCTTTGAGTGGAGCATGTGATGCCCCGTGAACCGCAGGACGTAGAGGAAAATCATTGAATCTAATCATGCGCCTAACAGAGTCATAGGAGAGAGAGATAGCTGCAGTGAGGAAAATCAAGCAAGACATGAGGGCTGTGTCTGGGTGGAGTTCAGTATTTCATTGAGGGTTTGAAACACCAGAAGGCAAAGCTGCTGTGTGCTTAAACATTTAACTGGAAGTGGAAACAGACAACCATAAAGTAAAATGAAAAGAGCAAAAATACTCTTGAGTCAGACGGAACTTCTTATGCATTGCAAGTGTGTCTGTGTTTTTCAGTGAGTCAGAGCGGATGATAGGATTTGTTGCCCCCTATTTATTTTAGGATAGCTCATGTTTCGAGGCAGCATTGCTGGGAGAGGTTACTCCATGCTCTCTGATGTAGCATGTGAGACATTAACTGTACACCTCCTGGTTTAAATGTACTGTACACATCACCTTTCAACAGCATTGGCAACTTTTCTGAGGGTTTCAAAGCCTTCATTGAACAATTCAGTCTTTTATCTGATAAATGCTGATAGACCCTCAAATACATATACTGTACATTAGAGAGGTGTTTGTCTCTGTAATTGGCCGATACTTGAGGAGGACTTGAATGCATTTGGCAAGTTGTGGGCAATGTCCTACAAAATGAGGACATGGTTTCCTAATGGATATGTGGTTTTTAAATGATTCCCATGTGGAGGGATGTGTGCTAGTGGGTTTTGAACTAAATTATAAAACGGTTATATTTATAGGTGTACATAATCATGTATGAATAATATGTATAATGAATGAGTCATAAACATTTTCTGACTGGGTTCACTTCTCAGCTGAATGTACAAGATTTTCCGCTAAGAAAGGCTTTTTCTTATAAAACATAAAACCTGTCTGACTCTGACACTTATTCATTGTTCACACTGTCGCTGAAAAGCCCCAAATCCTTCATTACCTGCACTATAGAAGCTGATTACAGAAAGGTCAGTGTGCAGATTGAAAGGCCGAGTCATACCATCTGAACTAATCATATACTCTTTACTCTCTCAGAGAACAGGATGTCGACGCTACCATCAGAAAACAGCATTGAAGATGCCAGCAATCGCAGCTTCTGGATGGTAAGACTGTGTGTTGTGTGTGTTACTCTGTCTTTGTCTGTTGCTACTTCCGAGTGAGCGTAAGAGAAGGATCTACAAGATAGCTTTACACCTGGTATCAAAACTCAATGACCTTCGTGTCAAAACAGACGAAACTGTTTTGTGTTAAGGCTACGGATCAGCATGAACAAGGCTGTGCTTTCATTTTTAAATTGGAATAGTAACCATTGTACTCTCTGAATAACCTTGCCTGGGTGAAGTGTGCCCCAGGAAGGTTTTTGTGATAGTGCTCAGCTCATTAGGTTTTTGATTGTTTGTGTTTGCGCGACAAAGTGTAGCAAAGGGGTTCGTGTCTCTGGGGGATGCACTTCACTGCTCTCTGCAACATCCTCGTCGGGCTACAGCACTGCAGCAAGATGTGTTTATTTGTCATGTTTTTCTTTTTGATATGGAAAAATAGTCAGCTCCTAAACAGATATAAGATATATTTAAAAATGTTTTAAATTTACATTCATTTGTCCAAAGTGACTTGAAGGGAACGTTTGATTTTGACTTCCTGAAACCTTTGCTGATGTCAAGTGTGTAAAAATATTGCTGGTACTGTAGGTAGATTTAGTTAATTGCACACAGTGTGGCTAGGTGTGACGTCTGTGCTAACCTATAGTTAACTTCATATTTACTGCAAAGACATAAGAGTTGTATTGATCATCTCATCTAACTCTCACAACAGTATAAGCCTTAACCCCAAGTGTCAAACTATTTATTATATACGGAATAAACAGGAGAAATAAAAACAAATTACTATAAAAATGAACATGATATCACATAAGTTCCATGGTTGTTTATCCCGGCGAAGCTTTAGATTGTTTCATCTACAGCATCGATATCAGTGAGAACTAGAAAAGCCAACATCGCCAATAAGTATAAGAGAACAATAATGCATGTATCTTCCCCATGATGTTGATCCCCTCCAAAATTGAATGGGTCCTTTCTTGGCCCATGCTGGATCATTCATCCCACCCAGTATAGTTATTTTCCGTGAACTAACAAACATAAACTCCCTTGCAGAAGTCATAATTCAGAACACATGAAAACACATGATGAGTTACTCTGAGAGCAGACTCAAGTTATTTACACTTCTTTTGAAGAATGATTAAGAAATGTCTGCCATTTCTTTTAATTACACAAATAACCTTTATAATTATGTTAATCTTCTCTGATGAATTACCAGTAATAGAAATAATACTATTTTACTTTTCAGTATTGCATACACTGCACTCTGTTTACTTGACACACTACTGTTTTGCCACCATGTTTTAAAGGTGTGTAAACACTTCAAACATCCGAAGTGCCCGACTATCTAATTTAAGTATGCTATCGCTTTAATAATGGCTTTGTCTCCCGTTGGCCTTGATGCCCTTCCCTACTTTTATCTCTCCCCTCCTGTCATTTTGGCTCCTGTTGTGTTGGATGTGTTTCCAGGCCAGTTCTCGTCTGTGTCATCCTGCCACCACGCTCAAGGGCTGTCTGTCATTATACTGCCAACTTAAGCTCTTTTTGTTTTACATTTGTCACCACCACTTTAATTTGCAATCATTGTGTATTCTCTAGAGTGTGCTATGACGCTGTGGACGCTGCCGTGCGCCCACATCACAGTATTACTCACTGCTGATTACATAGAGGTGTCCTGTGATCAGAGACATGCTCAGGCTCTAATGTTGTGTCTCTCTAAACACATCCTTTTTGCTGATTTCAAATCTAAAAGAGATATTTATATCTGTAACAGACTCTGTAAATGTTTGATTGAGTTGATTAGCCTCTTCAAAACAAAAAACATTTCCTTCAGGCTTTCTTTTTGTATCCATAGCTTAATGCTGTGAGGCGTCTCATTAAATGTTTTGTGCATTGATCTACATATGATTTGGAAGGAGAAAAAGATAAGAGTTTGCTCCTACTATAGCTTATACTACTTCCATTTATGTATTTACTACTGCTACTATTGTGACTGCAGCTACTATACTTCAACGCTAACTGCAGCTTAGCTTGATAACTGCTAATAAGACTGTTGCTGATGCTGTAGCTCTTCTGCCTGTGGCTCCCACCACTCTCTCTGTGCACTGACACGCTTTATAGGCTGGATAGGATCGGTTATATACGTGTAATTTGATTTTATAATGGAGGACTGTGGACATTTCCTTGCTGCGTTTTGTTGCTTGGACAAAATTCTCTGGTTGCGGATTTGCATCTGCCTCAAAGATGGGCCAACTGGGTCTCTGCAGCGTTGCCATTGGCCTCAAAGTGGATTCCTCAGCTGTTTCTGTTTAATTCTCAGACGAGTGAGGAGCGTTAGTGCAAACCACAACAGAGGCAGAAAGAGAGAAAGTAAGGAAAGAGAGAGAAACAGAAGGCCGCTGATGAGAAGTACCCTGATTGATTCTGATTAGGGCAAAGGAAGCTAGTGTTTCATTAAAAGCATGTTTGACTAATATTCTTTATTTGAAGACTGCAGAAAATAAATAAACATCTTGGTACACATTTTCAAACACGCTGTGTTTACTGTGTCACACTTGAAGCCTATAAAATGAAGGCAAACATGTTTTATATTAAATATCACATGCATTAAACAACACATGTAAACTACAGCAGAATCTCAAGTTTAATTAGAATATATTAGAAATGACTATATGTAATTCAATTAAGAAATGTTAATGAATAAATATGTTGCAGATGTCTTGCATATTAACTAAATATAGGTATAGAAAAAAAGACTGCATATTTATCTTACGCTAGCTGCTTTACCAATGATATGTTTTGACATATAAATACTAAACTGCTCCCTTTTTAGATGCATTATTCAATTTAAGACTAATTAAGAGTCCCTTTTAGGATAGAAGACCTTGTTTATCAATCGTACAACATTAAAGAATCAGGTTACATACTCTGACAAATCAAAGTTATCATGGTCTGCTAGGAGTGAGTAGTTACTCTGAAGTGAAATATCATCTTACAGAGAATTTGCCAAAAAGAAAGAAGTAAGGAGGAGCGTGGAGGAACTGAGAAATACTGCCAAGTATTGTGTGAAACATGTTTAATGTAAATGAAAAGCATGCAGACAGTGTGAGCTTAATTTATTAGACAGACATACACCTGTTGTTCACTTATGTCTCTGTCTGGTTTATGTTCATTGTGTAGTGTATGGAATAAACTCATAGCTTCAGATGATTTAACGTAGCATGAAACTATATAGTGTGTGTACACACTTTCCACTGGCTGTCTAAATGTTTCAGTAGATAGAGCCTGACAGAAAGTGAAGAGGAGAGTAGGAGTGAGTGCTGAGTAGGAGCTTACGGCGCTTGCCAGGAGAATAGCAGAGATTTCCAAATACTACTTCCACAAACAACACATTTGCTACAGATATGGTATTACATTCAGGGCCTTGCCTCTGCTGCCCTTCTGTCCTCCCTCTCCGTCTGGGTTTTTATGTCCACGCCTCGTCTTCACGTCCGCTCACCACACCCTGCGCTGCCGCGGCCATTAGACTTTACCACAGGAAACCTAATGCCAGTAAAGTGTCACATGTGGCGCGCAGAGGGTTGACCTTAGACGGCTGCAGGAGTGGCATCCCTGTGAAAGAAAATGAGAATGCAAGCTGGACCTTTTTATGACAGACAGACAGACTGACCAGACAATGGTGGAAGAGGCAGTTCTTATACAGAGGATTAACTAATAACATTAATAATGGCTACAATCCATTTAGCTGTGCTGGTTGCAGTTGAAGGATTTGTGCAGGCTGGCACCACTGACTGGGACACACTAAATGGAACAAAGCAGTCATTAAAGGGATTAGAACAGATTTCAGGAAATACGCTCATTCACTTTCTTGCTGAGTGTTTGATGAGAAGATCAATTTCACTCTCACGTCTGAACAGAAAACATCTGCCTGGGCCAGCAGCCTGTCAGCTTAGCTTAGCATAAAGACTGCAAACAGAGAAGAATTGCCTCTGGCCAAACAACCAAAAGAGACTACACAAAGTGAATGCACCGTGCGCACACTGTAGCATCATGTCAAACAGCTAATTATTTTAGTTTTTTTTAAATGACAAAAACAAATAGATAAGATGTGTTATCTGGTGATCTTAAGAGGTGCTTGTTGTTGAACTTCTTTGGTGGTTTCCTTTGTACAGAGACAGATTGTTTCCAGTCTTTATGGTAAGCTAAGCTAAGCGACTGTTAATGTATTATTTTGAATATTCTTAATCACAGTATCACAAAACACACTTTTGCTGTGCAAGGTGCTACTTTACTTGAAGGAGCAGGAAATCTGCTCTTACTAAGACCAGTAGAAGTAACTAGAAGCGTACTTTTTCCACAAACTTTCATATCAATTGGGCCAGTAGGTTGTATGTAATCCTGCTGAAATAATGACAAACAAGCTATACTAAACATAACCTCCCCAAGATAAAAAAAAAAACATGACTACAGCAATTACTGTAATGAAAGCAGTAGCTATAGGCTGTAATACTTGTATTGACAAAAGTAATGTTTACAGAGTATGCAGTAAAAGCATAGTATGAGTAGTGAGTGGAGTCTGGCTTGAACTGTTTCAGTCTTCAGTGTTAGTTTCTACATTAATTTGTTCGGATACGTTTTTGTGTGCATGCTGCTGTCTGAATAAATGGTGAGCAGATGTTCAATTTTGTATTCACAAACCAAAAGACTATTTAACACTGGCAAATACATCGCCCACTTTGTCTTTTTTAATCCAAATCATTATGTGGTTGGGTGCTAATATCAAAGCTCAAAGTCTACTAAGCCTCCCTCCTTCCCATGTTTATTTTGCGTTAACAGTTGATCTTCCTCTCTCTCTGTGTCCTGGCAGCCTGGGAACTACCAGCCCTCTGTGAAGCGAACAGAAGATGCCTTCCAGGCCTGTAATGACATCGTGGCGTGTTTCCAAGAGAGAGCTCGTGTGGAGAGGCAGTACGCCCAGCAGCTCAGTGAATGGAGCACCAAATGGAAACCAGTAGTGGATTCCAGTAAGTATCTGCAACTCCAGCTAGTTTTTTTCCACAGCATGTAAACTGTGAGATATCTCTCTCTCTATCTCCCATTGTGATAAGAGACGGTAACAATACCTACTTCTCCTCAGGTCCTCTGTACGGATCTCTTCTGAAGGCTTGGCAGTGTTTTCTGTCCTCGGCTGACCGGCTGGCCTCCTTACACGCCTCCATCTGTCGCTCCCTGGTGTCGGAGGATGGAGACCGGGTCAGGACCTGGCAGAAGGACTCCTTCCACAAGAAGTTATTTGGAGGCTTCAAGGAGTCCCAGGACATTGAGACGGGCTTTACACGTGCTCAGAAGCCGTGGGCCAAGCGACTTAAAAAGGTCAGATTTGTCAGATTTCGAAGGCAGCTTCAGTGTTGCACAAGTGATTTAAAGCTCTCATCTGAGACATTGATACAAAATAGATGAATGCAGTTTTCACTTATAGATGACAGTTCACATTTCAAGATGTAAAATGCCTGATAAACCTACAGAGCTCTGTCAAAGTCCAATTGAAATGAAATGGCATCTTTTATCTGACGCAGTACACATTATGTGCCTTGTGAGCAATTTGTTCTGTGTTCTATGAGACCAAAGGGAAAAAATAATAGCGCCCACTTGACTGAAGTACACTGTTGGGATAAAAGACAATTATAAAAATGTACCAATCAAATTGAGAATAATTGCAAGCAGAAGAGCCTATAATCAAAGAGAAAATGAGACACAATACACCATCTGTTGTAGGTTTTGCAAAATGCAAAAGAACAAATACATAAAGCTCCTACAAACATGATTGGTTGAAATCCTTTTTTCTTGATTACATTTAATATTCAGAACAAAATAAGAAAAATCTAATAGCCTTTGTAGTAATTTGTTCTTTTCTTTGATCCGAGAGCAGTAAAGGACAAGAGGACCTCTATCAAAAGAGAAATTTGCATAAAAAATAAACCCAAGCCCCTTAGAGAATCAATACATCATACACACTTAAATAGATTGCAAAATCACAATTGGATACTCATTTTGTAGCAGACCTCAGCTCAAAGTCAGTTTTTGACCACCACTATTTTATTCTGTACGTGAGGTGCATCTTGAATGGTTGCAATTGTTGTTTTCGTGAAAAACCCATGTAGACATCTTCCTTTGTAACCAAGGTGTCCTGAGTCTTCCTCTTCTGTCCCCAACTGAAGATTAATATGTTCTGTTTTTGTTTTGTCTACAGCTAGATAAAGTTAGGAGGGCATACCAAAAAGTTAGCCGAAAGGAGCATGCAGCGAGGGAGCGAGATTTACACGCTCAGGGAAACCCGGACGTCGCCATTGACAAACAGAAGAAGATCCAGGAGGACAGAGAGCTGGTTCAACAGGAGGCAGAGAAAGTAGGCAACATTTTTCATCATTTTAGTTGTCAATCGGGTATTAGTTTAACATTTCTCAGGTTTTTAAAATTTGTTTCTAAATGTTAACAGGTTCGTGCCCGCTATGAGAAAGTCCTTGAGGAGGTGAACCGCTACGTTCCACGCTACATGGAGGAAATGGAGTCCATCTTTGATCAATCGCAGGACGAAGAGCGCAAAAGGATTGTCTTCCTCAAACAGGCCTTACTGTCCATCCACAAACACCTGGACATTACTAACAATGAGAGGTGAACTTCAATGCTGTGCATGTGATGGTTGCTGTAAGTTGCTGTCTTTGCTGAGCAGCTTTGTGTCTAGAGTAGTTTATATGTGTTACTAAATTAATAATATAATAAAGAAATAACTGCTGTTTCACTACATACGGTACATGAGCATAAAGGAAATTATAGCAAAGACAGCAACTAAATGACTTTACGAAATCTGAAGGGGCCACAGGGGGATAAAGGGTAGATGAGAGTAATTATATACTCTATTAATCCGCCAAATTTGTGTGCAACCCTTTCCCTCAGCTCTTTACTTTACGCTGGATGGCAGTGCAAGTAGATTAAGTGCTAATTACAAGTTTCAATAAACTTTAGTTATAGTATAAGCATCAGAAGACACCATGCAATTAGCCGTACAACTGCCCCATAAAGTATTCATCCACCTACATTCCTGCATGATGTGTTCATTATACCATGCTCAGATTACAATGCAATGTAAAGCCTTATGAGCATACATGGTCTTTTATGTCCTAGGCAGATACAGGCTGATCATTTAATATGGAAAATAACAATGTTGACAATTATAACATTTAAACTGACCGCAAAAAAGTGAAACATGTGTTACATTTTCAGTGTAAGTAAAAGTGGTAAGAGTGCACGAGATGGTAAAAAGTGTTCTGGGTTAATGGATAGCAGCTTCTGTAAAACAAGTGTAGCTCTTCATTGGTTTGCCTCCGCTGGGTACCAATTTTGCTCCTCTTATTTACTCTCCACTTCTCCTTTAGTGTGAGGGCTGTGTACAATGAGCTCCACAACACACTGATGTCCATCGATGAGCATGAGGACCTTCGCTGTTGGAAAAATACCTACGGGCCCGGCATGCCCACTGACTGGCCTCATTTTCAGGTATCTAAGACCACCTCCATTTGTTGTTCTCAAATTGATTTGACGTTTTTTAACGATGTTGTTCTAATTATTTTTAGGAATGGATACCTGAGAAGAAAACCAAAAAAGGGAAAAAAGAAGTAGAAAAGAAAGGAACAATAGAGAAGAGGTCAGTAAATGTTCTTCAAACAAATTGTTTGGCAGGATTTTGTTTTCACTGTGATCTACTGCTGTGTAGCTTTTGTTGTTCTGCTGATTAAAATCCATCTGTGTCTCTTTTTTAAAATGATGTTTTTCCATCGCTTTTTCTTCCTCTAGTGTGATGATTGGAGGAGTGAAAGTAAGAGCTCTGTATGATTATGTTGGCCAGGAGACAGATGAGCTGTCCTTTAAAGCAGGTAAAAACACAAATACCACCCTACGAAGCTTACTTTACTCGACTGTAGGATTCATTATTGACGGGACGTGTAAGTGTATATATATTGTGTGAACTTATTTGTTTATTTTATATTTAATCTTCAGTTATCTTTTTTCGTTTGTCAAATTGTGCTTTTTAATAAGGTTTTAGAAAATTCATCAGCAACTATTTGGTCAATTATTTGAAAGTTTGAGACCTTTTGCCAACAATTAGGTGATTCCGACTTCTCAAATGTGAATATTCTGTCACTTAAGCTACTATTTAGTCCAACATATTAAGCAATCTTATGAGGTCAATTTGATAACCAGGAGAATGTGATGGCTTGTTGTGTTGCTACATTGTAATATTGTATGTCATAGACCAAACTATTAATCAAGATAATAATTGGCATATTCATCAATAGTGAAAGTAATTGTTAGCTGCAAACCTAGTTTTTATTTTATTTGTGTCTTCCTGCAGGTGAAGAGTTTTTGAAGATTGAGGATGAGGATGATCAGGGCTGGTGTCGGGGGATAAACGATGGTGGGTGTGAGGGGCTTTACCCAGCAAACTATGTGGAGATGGTGTAGTTAGTGCATGTAGACTGAAAATGAAAGATCTACATACTTCATTATATCATGGTAATTCACAACCTGGTATAACATCCAAATGTCAGAAACATAAAACCAATGCTGTCAAACACCAAGTAGCTGTTAACCAAAGATCTGGTCTGTGGAGGAGTATGATCACACGTATAAGGATATTTTAGCAAACAGAGAAATAAAAAAACTACCAAGGTTGTGTTATCTCTTGAAGGATTTTAAGAAATGTTTTAATATATATATAGAACGCATAGATAATTTGTATGGAGCCCTATGATAACAATGCTTTAATGTATAAAATTGCTCTTATGGTACATTTTAAAACTAGCCTTTTGGTGCTGAAATTGCTTTACAGGACTGCGTTTTTTCCCTTGAACTGTTTTTATTTCCTTGCACATCAACACATTGCTATTATAATGCCCACAAAGCCTCAATATATGAAGAAAGTGACGCTAATACTGTGATGAAGCACACTTTGAGTGACCTGTGTTTCTCTTCTGTTTATCAGTGTTTAAAGAAACAGTTCAGCATTATTCATAATACTGTTGTTTTCTGTAAAACACACAGTAAATGTGCTCAGTTTCTCTATGTGTCAGGTACAGGGGGGATCTCCTAGCTTAGCATCAACACTCATTCCAGGAACCATGATGCTGTCTTATTTTTTATCTTGTTAACTTAAAGTAACTATAATCAATATGTTCCACTTGCACATGTTATTACACCCCTCACTTCTACAGAACTTTATTGGATAATTCAGGCCTTTGTTTTGGTTTTCTGCCTGCAAGCTTTTGGTTCAGTCCCACCACTCTCATCAGGGTTGTTTTCAGCTAAAGCAGGCAGCTGCTTTCAGTGAAAATTATAAAAAGCATAAAAACAACACCTGTGGAGCTCTGCAGACCAAGGCTCAGGGGGAAGAGCGGGTTGTCCGTTACATGCAGGCTTGGTGGTTCAATCCCACACTAAATCTCACAATATTTACCGATAGCCCTAATGCCCTTGCATGGCATTTTCACCAACAGCAAGCTGTTTTTAAAGCATTCTATCCAATAACATAGAAAACTGTTATATAAACGCTGGTTATTTATAATTTTTTCAACCGTGATGGAAAGAGGCTAGGAGTTTCTCCCTGTTTCCAGGATTTGTATAAAGCCAGAACCCACTCTCTATGCATTTATTTCCGAGACTAAACACGTCTAAGCATTAAGATGCTTTGCCAAACAGGACCCAGGTTTCAACATGTCCCAGACGTAGCGCTATCTCTGCACACAATGTTTAGTGATGAAACTGATATTAACGCCAAACATTCATATTTCTTAGCATGTAAGACTGTTCCTTAAAGATAAGTACTTATGAACAAATACTTTCTGTCTGTAATCATCTGTTGCTGTATTGCATGTATAATGCTTATCATGGCAGGCATCTTTACCAAAGCAAGGAAACGGTTTGCCTTCCTCTTGTCTGAGCATTCGTCAGTAGACTTTCTGTGTATGAGCTTTGTGTTCAGCTATGCATTTTCAGCTGCCTGTCTTTTGGAAATAAATTTGCAAAACTGTATAATTGAATTCAATATGGAAAGAATGACTGTGTTTGTGTGTGAGAGACACGGAGAGATAGTTGCTGTGTGTGTTTGTTTATTTATTTTTTGTTTGTTTGTGTGTGTGTGTGTGTGTGTGTGTGTGTGTGTGTGTGTGTGTGTGTGTGTGAGAATCACTATGCCATCATCCTCTAGAGTCCAAAAGTACACACACACACACACACACACACAAACCCCAAAAAACAACCAAAAAAAAAAAAAAAAAAAAAAAAAAAAAAAAAAAAAACGCAAGAAGGAAATTTTGTTCTTCGGTCCGCAGTCTGCGTCCCGAAAGAAAATAAAAGGAAACCGTTCTCATAGACAGGTAAACAGTCGGATTAGGGTCGGAGAAGTGAGTGGACTGATAACATAGACCCCAGTGTCTAGTGACGATGTAGAGGCCGACGATGTGCAATTCGTGTGCAGCACAGTAGTGGCGATTCCGTTTCGTAAGGAATCCCCACTGTAATAATAAAGGTAATGCGCAAGACCGCGTTGTGACTGTAAGGCATCTGTGAGGACGGCGAAGAACAAATAAATGGACGTTTTTTTCCTCACCACACAGAATTTTACTGGTCCTAACATAATAACCGTTGAAGCAGGGCATAGCCACCAACAGGAGTTTGTATTTGCTCGACCCACAGGCCAGACGTCAACCGACCCCGACTACAGCGGTACACGAACGTACAGTCGTCGACGTAGACGGGAAGACAGGCCACCCGTTCTATTTTCTGGGTCGCAAACTGGACGCTGTCTGAAGGGAACTGTGCCTTGTACCCGGAATTTTCACGACACGGACGACGACGGACCACGACACGCACACACGGACACACGACACACGACACGACACACGACACCACACACACGACAACACCACGACACACGACACACCACGACGTGAAAACCTGAGATCTCCTNGGAGGAGGGGGCTTGGGGACCACGGTAGGCCGGGGGGGGCGTGACTGTGTGTGGGGGAGGCGTGGGGGAGCGCCCAGGCGTGTGAGAGCTGTTGTAAAGGTGGTGGGGGTGGGACATAGAGAAGGGTCTGTGATAGGATCCAGGAGGAGGCGGTGGCGAGACTGAGGGGGGAGGTGGAGGTCCCGATGCTGAGGTGGGCTGCAGGGTAGAGGGCGAGTGAGAGGGCAGAGGGTTGGGTGAGGTTTGGGAGGGGGAGTGAGCGGACTGAGTCAGGTTAGCCACCTCGCTGTCATACGATGTGAGGCTGGAGGCAGTGGAGTCCCCTGCCTGAGGTGAGGGCAGGGGTGTGTGAGAAGGAAACCCACCTATAAATGATTCTTTTTGGGTTGTTGGAGGGGGTGGTGGTGGAGGAGGTGGAGGTGGAGGGGGCGGGACCTGCTGTTGGCGGGAAAGCAGGCTGTTGGGGCGCATCCCGTGTTGCGAGTACCCTGACATTCCCCCCATCCCCCTGTCGAAGCTATTAGCAAACTGTAACGGAGGTGGGAGAGGGTCTGCGTAGACAAACTCATCGTCCGCATCAATTGAAGGGGCAGGGGGAGGAAGAACCATCAAACCAGACCCAGTGCTCCCAGTACTGTTGGCTGTCTGCTGAGTACCGGTAGGGGGAGGGGAGGGAGGGGTGAGGGACAAGATATAGGCATCAGCTTGACTTTCCATCCTGAGAAAAGAGGGTCTCTGAGGCTGCTGGGACCCCTGTTGAGCAGCACTATCAGCAGCCTGCTCTGCCCTCCTTAAGTAACCCTCCCTCTCTTGTTCTCTCTCTCTCTCTCTTGACATCTCCCTCTCCCTCGACCTCTCCCGCTCCCTCGACCTCTCCCGCTCCCTCTCCTTGTAGGATGGCTGAAACGGCTGAGACTGGTAGTGGTGTGTGTGGACCGTTTTATCTTCAGAAAAGCGAACTCTTAGCCCCTCACGTGCCCCTCCTCCATCCCGCTCTCTCTCTCCTCCACCGCCTTCCTCATTCCACACACTCCCGACTCCTCTGAGGATTCTGGGTGAGGGTGGGCGGCCAGCAGTGGCCGTAGTAGCAGCCAAAGAAGATGAGGTGACCAGGTAAGAGGAGCTGGAGGACTGGGCGGTGGAAGACACTGGCTGAGAGGTGACAGAAGAAGAAGGAAACCCCCCACTCGACATCTGGCGGGTGAAATGGGGCTCTGTTCCCCTCCTTAACCTGCTGTCATCCCTCAGAGCACGCTCTCTCGCAGCGAGGGCGAGACCTAGTGGCGATGTGGGGTCAAGAGCCTTTCCTGTTAGAGGGTGAATGAAGGTGGTTTTACTAGAGGATGCGGACTGCCTGCCAGTGTAAAGGTCAGTCGGTACAGATTTGGGCTGATAGTCCTGGGCAGCTGAGGAGTACTCAGGTAGGTCAAAGGCTGGAGGCATACTGCGGGTGTGATGGATAAAGCTGTCCCCAGAGAACATGCCCTCATCAATAGACTTGGAGGGGCGCAGCCGTGTTGATGAGTTTTCAGCCTGTGTGCTAAGCTGTTGCTGCAACGCTTGAGTCCTTGAAATGCCATCACTCCCTCCCCCAAGAATCACGTCCTCATCAGCAGACATGAACATTGAGGAACCCTTTCGGCAGAGTTCATGAAACCGTCCCCTGTCTCGGCGAGCAGCGCCAACAATGGCAGCACCAAACTGGCTAGTATAGTCCATATTATCCTGGGCACGGATTGAGGGTAAGGATGGAGGCGGCGGTGCTGGGATGGAAGGTGGGGCAGGGGGCTGCGGAGCAGGACTGGAGGGGGGAGGACCATGAGCTGTTTTGGATTCATCTGCCTCCCCTGATGCAGGAACATCGGCCTCCACACTGCTGCCTTGGCTGCTGCGCCCACTGCTGCTGGTTGAAGGGGCCTTGACAATTATTGTGGGGATGGGGATGGAGCTTTTCTCCACTGTGCCTTTACCCCCCAGTGTACCCTGGCTCAAGCGCAGGTCTTCTACCTTGGATTGCTTCACCAGGGGGCCTTTACCTCTCCGGGCCCCTCCTTTAGGACCGCCTGCTCCAGCTGCACTGCGCTCTGCACGATGGGATTGGCTCTGGGCAGGCTGCTGTTGCTGGGGCATTACAGTGGCAATGCTGGAGGGGGAGACCGCTGTGCTGTAGCCTCTTCTAAGACCTGCTGCCTTGGCCCCTCCTCCAGCCCCTCCACCAGCCCCTGACCCAGCTCCACCAGGCTCTCCAGTATAGGCAACTTTCCTCGAAGCAGTCCTGCTTTGAGTAGTATGGGCAGCAGCGTGTGCATATGAGGTGGTGTGGTCCACTGCTCCACCACTGGGGCCAGTGCTGGGACCCCCTGCCCTTTCCCTGCCCCCATGGGTGAAGTGCACTGGCTGGGAGTAGGGCTGGTAGTGTGCAGAGGTGGCTGTGGACTGGGACACAGAGACAGAGGGCTGCTGGGAGGACTTTGCTCTCCAACCAAGTGGCGGAGCAGAGGAGAATGGAGGTTCTGGTGGTGCTGTGGTGGGAGGAGGGGGGATTTCGTCTGGGCCGGGCACTGACAGACTGCGAGCAAACTTCATTGCTGGAGGATGCAGGAACTGCCTTTCGTCCTCAACCGCCCCTGCAGTAAAGCATTAACAAAAAAGAAAACAAATGGCGATGAAATAGGCATTAACCTACTGTATAATACAAATTGTGTAAAGTGAGAATAAGAACAGAAGAAAAGTTTGGGGGTGAATAAGAGTAGAGGGGAAATGGAACAAAAGAAAGGAAAGTTAACGGTAATCTGAGAGTGTCTGTCTTAATCTGACTGCCCGTGTAACTGCCAGCAAGTCTGTCCTCAGTTCTCATGTCTGTTAGTAGGTAAATCAGTTAGTGCTATGTATTCCACAAACAGGAAGCAACTGGGTAACATCACACAGCAGCATTCGTTTTGTTGGTCACCAGAGAGCACATTTCTATTTCAGGAGTGGAGATAGCAAAGCCTCAGTAAGCAACAAACCAGAAATTAATTCATTAGAATAAAACAAAGATTAGTGGCCATTCTTTATATAACAAGTAGTAGTAGGGTGAGTTTAACACAAACAAACAACTTGTTTTTACAGTACAAGTATAACATACAATAGCTACAGATACAGATAGGGTGACAGAAAGTGTGCACATTTTTAGGCACAGACAAGACAAACAGGTCGGCGCAGAGTTGATCTCTGCTGCTCCAGAGGACAGACAGACAGGCCAAAGGAGGGGCAGACAGAAAGAACAGACAGCCTCACCGATGGACTTCTGCCGCAGCATACCGTGCGGTGGGCCGTGACCTGAGGTGAACTGGCCACGGTCATAGCCGAGGCCCAACCCAGACGACATCATCCCCATCCCAGACTGATCCCCGTAGTTTGGCTGAAACGCCAAAAAGAGCATGTGAAAAAAATGAGATTAACAGGACATTCAATTGTGCAATACATGTGCGGGTCGGAGAACCAAAATCATTGGTTTTAAGAGTCACACCTTTGCTTGGCTGGTTTGTTGTAATGTCAAAAAGAATTATGCACATTTATGCAGGTTTAAAATAGTCAACAATAACTGTTATTTAAAAAAAATAACTGGTACAGTAGTTTAATTGTTTTCATATTTTTTAAATGTAAGGATGTTGCTGCAGAACTTACGACGTTGCCATGTGTGTTCGGACTACATATTCTGCTCGACACAAATGTGAAAAGTGTCTTGTGTTGTCCTTGAACTGGTTTATTACATTGCATTTAGCTGACGCTTTTATCCAAAGCGACTTACAATAAGTGCATTCGACAAAGAAGATACAAACTTGAAGAAAACAGAATCATATAAGTACATCAGGTTTCATAGAGCCAAAACCTTTCAAGTGCTACTTAACTGGCTTTAGATAAGCCAGTCCTTTATTAGCATATAAGTGCTTTGTTAGTAATTTTATTGCTCGAAGTGTAGTCGAAAGAGATGAGTTTTTAGTCTGCGCCGGAAGATGTGTAAGCTTTCTGCTGTCCTGATGTCAATGGGGAGCTCATTCCACCATTTTGGAGCCAGGATAGCAAACCCACGTGTTTTTGCTGATGGGAACTTGGGACCCCCTCACAGCGCGGGAGCAGCGAGCTGTTTGGCTGATGCAGAGCGGAGTGCACGTGCTGGGGTGTACGGTTTAACCATGTCCTGGATGTAGGAAGGGCCAGATCCATTCGCAGCATGGTACGCAAGTACCAGTGTCTTGAAGTGGATTGTAGCAGTTACTGGAAGCCAGTGAAGGTAGCGGAGGAGCGGCGTGGTGTGGGAAAATGTAGGAAGGTTGAAGACCAGACGAGCCGCTGCATTCTGGATGAGCTGCAGAGGTTGGATGGCACATGCAGGTAGACCAGCCAGGAGGGAGTTGCAGTAGTCTAGGCGTGAGATGACGAGAGTCTGCGTCGCTTTCTGGNTTGATTGTTAGGTCAAGAGTGGGACACTCTTTTCCCGGAAGAAAAAGCAGTTCAGTCTTGTCAAGGTTGAGCTTGAGGTGGTGAGCAGACTTCCACTGAGAGATGTCTGCTAGACAAGCAGAGATGCGTGCGACGACCTGGGTCTCTGAGCGGGGAAAGGACAGAATTAGTGGGGTGTCGTCAGCGTAGCAGTGGTATGAAAAACCATGCGGGCTAATGACCGATCCGAGCGAGTTTGTGTACAGAGAGAAGAGGAGGGGACCAAGGACAGAGCCTTGAGGGACCCCTGTAGTTAATTGACAAGGGTCGGACTCGGACCCTCTCCAAGTTACCCTGTAGGTGCGGTCTTTGAGGTAGGAGGTGAGGAGGGAAAGTGCAGAGCCTGAAACTCCAAGTTCTTGGAGAGTGCGAAGGAGGATCTGATGGTTGACCGTGTCGAATGCAGCAGACAGGTCCAAAAGGATGATGACAGAGGAGAGGGAGGCTGCTTTAGCAGTGTGCAGTTCCTCAGAGACAGCAAGGAGGGCAGTTTCTGTGGAGTGACCTGCCTTGAAACCAGACTGGTGAGGATCAAGAAGGTTGTTCTGATGGAGATAACAGGAGAGTTGTTTAAAGACAGCGCGTTCAAGTGTTTTAGACAGGAATGGGAGGGGAAAAGGAGGTTAGTGTGGGGGTGAACGGTGGGTCTGGTGACCCAGTGGTGAGCAATGGTGAGTCGGAAAAAGAAGAGCGAATATCATCAACCTTTTTTTCAAAGTAGTTAACAAAGTCGCTTGGAAGAAGGGAGGAGGGGGAAGGGGCTCTGGGATGGTAAAGGAGCTGGAGAAGCTTGAAAATATTTGTTTGGCATTGGAATAGGAAGAATGGATCTTAACTTGAAAGAAAGTGCTTTTTGCCTGAGAGATTGTCGAAGATGAGAAAGAGGAGAGGAGAAATTGATAGAGTAGGAGGTTGTCAGGGTGTTTGGATTTCCACCATTTCCGCTCGTCTGCCCGAAGGATGGTTCTATTAGCACGCAGTTTATGTTTCATTGTTCATTACTAGCCAGTAGATAGATACAGTGTATGCAAATCTCTGGAACTTAATCAGAATCAGAAACAGGTTCAGGTAGGTTGACACGTACGAGGAATTTGACTTGATATCATGGTGCATACATAAAAGTAAAACAAAAATTAAAAACACATATAGAGAACTATTTTAAGAAAACTATAATAACATAAAAAATATATAAAAACCTAATAAAAAATATAGCAAAAATATAGCATTATTTACATATAAATAGAATAGAATATAATCAAGGGGATCTTTAATTGTTCAGACTCTTTGATGAAGCAGTGACAGGATAATTTAAATTGAAGATGTGCCCGGTGCAGCATCCCTGTTTTACTGATTGTTTGCTTTTCATTGAGTTGTTTCCGGCTGTCTTATACTACAACTCAACTTCTTGTTAGATAGTCACTGTTCACAACCTGATGACAGACACAGTGAACACAGGAACCCGTATTTCAGGAAACTAGAAATTAAACTATAATAGATTTTTCTAAACACACCTCATTGCCATAGAAACTTCGTCCTCTGTCTCTTTTTGGCCCCTGTCCCCGTGTCCCTGGTGCTTCATTGGTGCTGATGGTCTGCTGAGCTGCTGCAAGAATTTCATCTAGTTTATCTGAGAGAATAAGACAGAGAGAGAGAGAGAGAGAGAGAGAGAGAGAGAGAGAGAGAGAGAGAGAGAGAGAGAGAGAGAGAGAGAAAGAGAAAGAGAGAAAGAAAGAAAGAAAGAAAGAAAGAGAAAGAGAGAAAGGGGCACACAACAATGAAACAGAAAAATGAACATCAAAAGTGAAGGAAAGATTGTGTGGAAAGGGACAAACTTGATGAAAGTGGACGAGAAAACATCTGACAAACACAATCTCCCTTACTCAAAGCCATCTGATAGACTGTCCTCTTCTTCTCTGTGACTTGGGAGGATTCGAATTCTAAGAGGAAAGAAACTCAGAATAAGGCCAATAAGAGACTGAGCGGTGAGTGCCAACACATTTTGGAAAGACATAAATACAATGCCTTAAAGGTCCCATGTCATGCTTTTCCGGGTATTACACAGAAAAGACCTATCTATGCTGCCACAAAACGTCTCGTTGGAGATGTTAGTGGAGCCTCGCAGATGGGGCTGCTGCAGCCCCCTTAGCACCCACCCCCCCCTTCCCGCGTCCATTCGCGATGTCTCGCTGTCTCGCAGCAAGCAGGAAACCACACCAGTAAGCCAGCTCACACTGTCAGCTCCTCGCAGCAGCGAGCCAGTGGGCGAGCTGACCAATCAGAGCACACTGGGCTCACAGGGAGGGGGGGGCAGGAACTCCAACAAGGCGTGCAGGACAGAGAGTGACATTTAGTGAATACACATAATATACAGAGATGCTGTATGAGAAAACCAATGTGAGTTTGGAAAATTGCACAATGTAAATCTATTCTAGTAGACCTCAACAATGGAATTATGATCAGTAGAAATGGCCATGTCATGGGACCTTTAAGCAAGTGTATACCAGAGCATACCTGATTTTTTTTTCCAAGGGGTAGCAGCTGGAAGGAGGACAAAAGGAGACTTAAGTTTTGGCAGGAGTGAAAGTGCGATAGCGTTGTTACAGGGAATACTAATCATATCCGCTGGAGCCTGACAAAGTGAGTCACTTCGACAAGCTTTTCCATCTTCGATGTAAAAGAACGTACATAACACCCACACTTTAAGACAGCTGAAGCATGCACACTTATGTTACGGTAAACATGCTGCACACGCATACAGTATGCTTCTTGCTGTTACTCTCTCTTACACACTTGAAAACACAAATATAAATGTGGAATTAGTCTGAACTGACTCCCACCTCTCTCTACTGTTAAATGATTGAGATCCCGGCAGCAGTGAAGTGGGGACAAAGGAGAAAGAGGAAAGACAGAGAAAGTGGTTAAACCAGTGAACAGTAAAGGGATACGTCTACAGGGGAGTAGAGAGGAGGAATTAAAGGTGACCCTTTAGTGTTTGCATCCGCTGGTGAGAGTGAGCTTGTGTGTGCGGACTGAATAGAAATAGGGATATTCATAATACTCATACTGAGGCAGTTATATTTCATAATGTGTAGTTTATTGAGCCTGATTAAACATAAATTAAACGTAATGTCCGATGGTTAAACCAAGCATGAAAGGAATTTGAATGTGTCCTGATTTGATCTGTTACTTACAACAAAAATCCTTTCAAAATCAAGCCATATTTTGTCCGTACAAATTTAAACAACATTTGGGTGAAATTAGTGTCAGGAAAACAACATTTTTTTGGACTGAAATGCACTGCATGATCATTTCCATTTCAATGTCCTTGTTTTCCTGCAGCGTGACTTCTGAGTGAACCGGGACACTGCACCAATCACAGAGGTGAGATAGCTTAATAGGCGTCACAGCTAAATGAATTCTAATGCATTAGAATGAGCATATGGTGGGGGCTGACATGGCTTCATCACACACTGTGCCCCTCTCACCTTGATTCAGAAGGAGGCATAAGCAAACAGGGCCCAAGTTATTATAAGGTGTGTATTATAAAGTGTGCAAATACACTAGCCACATGACAAGGAAACTGGAGTATTCATTTATGAATTAACCTTTATTGATACAAACTAACCATTTTATTTAAAAGCCTTATTTCCCATGCATAGCCCGACAAATACTGACATTTCTGGCACCAATGGATATTTGTGAAGAAATAAGAGTAAGATTGGCTCTAGTTTGGCTAATAGAAACTTTAGTTTAACATATAACACACAAATAATATATCCAAAAATGAAAAAGATCCCTTTGAGATTTCAGTTTTTTAAAGAATGTTGACCAAGATACATATTAAGTTGGACATTTTCAGTTTTTTTTAAGTATTGGCCAAAATATACACTGTACAATAAATCTGCAATAAGCTGTACCTGACTGACTTAGCTCTTGTACCGTGGCACTATTAAATCTCTATGTCACTTTAAATTATTCCAATACTGTACCTTGGTATGAGGATGATGATGATGATGATGGTGATGATGATGATGGTGATGGTGATGATGATGATAATGAGGCTATTGTGCACAGTTAGAAAACAGCAACATGGTTACTGCTTTTAAAAAAAAATAATAACCACATCCTCTTAAAAAAAGAATGTGCCTTATATGTGGTGGAAGGAGAACAACTTCATGTTTTTGTTTTGCCAAAAAGCAATCAAGCAACTGTGTAATGTAAAATGGTTTCATTTGTAACAACTCAATGTTTGTTTAAGTGATACTCTATATATTGAGATAAGCATACAGTTTCACTGGATACATACAGTGCTAATGGGAAATAATAGTGTATAGTGAGCAGTGAAGGAAAGGTGGGTTTGGGGTAGAGGAAACTAGCACCTGTGTTCAGACTGGGTGCTCATGCTTTGTGCTGCTCAAGTGAGGTCACACCACAGAGAGGAGGCAGGTGAGATGAGGAAATTGGGGAGGAAAAAAGCAAAGGGCTTATTTATCTAGACTGATCCTGACTTACAGCATCAGGGCCGGACTCAGTTGGTAGTTGCTGTTGTGTACCAGGCAAGTTTAGTCATTGTTTGTAGGCTAAAGTACTGAAACCAGATCTGAATCCAGCTGTAGCCCTGCAGATTCCCCTCCCCTCCAGAAGCTCCACATGTTATCAGCACCCCTACATCATCAATTACTCACTGGGCATGCTCAGAACCAGCCAGCAGCAACACTTACAGCACCATAAATGTTCAGCAAAGATAACCCAATCACCAATAAAACACTGGCCAATTTCAGATCTGCAAATGGGGGTGTTGACCCTCACCATGCACTCTCCTCCCACTATTTTGCCTCAAATAGAGATGGCATAAGCATAGCCACACATAATGATGTTACCATAGCAACAGACCTGGAACAAAGTTGCTTTTTTGCTAAATTACTCATCTCAATAATTTTATCCAGGGCAAGATTTATTTTCAATTAATCAGAGACGTTCTCAACTAAATATTACACTTGATATGTTGCAACTTGCTCACTAAGACATGAAGACAAGACACTTAGCCATGATGTTTTCAGCATCTGGAAAAACTCTTCTCAGGTGACGCCCATTCCCCTGCAGTGTTACCTTGACAACAAATACTTGCTGAGTGTCTGTGTGTGTAGAGCAGACAAAGTAGTAGACTGCTCTGTGGGCGCTGGGGTTAAAGCTGTGGGCGGGCCAGGGAGGAGTGGGGGGTGCAGGGGGGTAAGAGAGGCGGGCAGTGAGAGAGGGATCACAGGGTGGTTAGCGACACTTTTTCAGGGAGGGGTTACCTGTAGTGGGTGTGCTGGAAGTGACAGTGTGGAACCTCTGAAAGAACAGTGAAATGCATTGAGACCTTCATCCACGGCGGAGCCACTTTTTCCTGCCCCCCTCCTATCTGTCCCTGAGTAACTTTACTTTCTTGCTGTCTAAAAAGGTAGACCTAGCTCCACTCCCCTTCACACTTTCAGCATCTTAAACAACCCCAACACTCAGATCTCACATTATTTATATTATCCTTTATCACTTCAATCTATTCATCTCCCCCTATTCAGCTTTAATGTGTTCTTCATATGTTTTTTGAATTTCCCTGTTTGTCTGTTGTTTCATTTATTGTCGATTTCCACCCATCCAAAAGTTTATGTAAGCCAATTTCTTACCCATCTCCTCCAGTTCTGAAGTCATGGATTTGGATCGTAGGGCGATAGCGGGGGTGCTCAGCCTCTTGCTCTGCTGGGGGACTACAGAGGGGGGGGAGGGGGCAGACACAGGCAGCAGGGGTCAGTCAACAACTAGGTTCATCTATCGCTATCATTCATTTACCGCAGAACCCCAGGTTGAAGAAGATAGACTCCTACTTTTCTTCCTCGAACCCTCCTCCATGTCGGGGTTGCGGGTTACCATGACAACTTTCACCATAAGGCTGTTTCCCCCCTGCCGGATCATGTTGACGACCTGTCGGTGACCGACCTTCACCACATTCTGACCATTGACCTGGGAGAAACATGTAGAGACAAAGAAGGACAGAGAACTAATTGAGTTTAATAACACGCCCACCAGCCGCATCCCCATCAGGTTAAAATGTTTAGCTTTGTTTACTGAAAAAAAGGTCAAAAATATCAACAACAACAAACAGCTTTCATTTAGTTTTGGTTTAAAGTGAGGCATTGGGCCACTGAACTAAATATTTGTTTTTGTTGCAGATCAATCGTGAATTAAAACATTTTATAAAAATAAAAAGTGTGCAGAAAATTAAACATTTCCTTCACTGGAGAGGACTGTGAACCTTTCCTAACTTTTAACTTCCCCCTAAGGTTTTGTTTGAGTGTGTTTGTTAGCTTTTTTGTCTGGTTGTCCGCAGGATTACGGAACAAAACTATTTGAATTTCATCAAAATTGGTGGAATGGTGTTACACTGGCCAACTTAACAATCGAAGCAGATCTGAATCATGGGGCAGATAAACACAATATATTTCTCTAAATATCTAAAATATAATATATATATACTCTAAATTGTGCTTATAATTACAACCCATAATGCAGTAGTGAATCGTAGTATCACCTCTATCAGGAAATCCCCCATCCTGAGCCCGGCTCTCCAGGCGACCCCTCCCTCGTCCACAGACTCCAGGTACTGCAGAGCAGGGAAAGCCGGGGTGGGGGTGAACTCCTCGATAGGAGTCTGAGCTGGAGGCGCAATACAAATACAAAAATCCATTAGCATGTGATACAAATGCTAAATTGCTTTATAGATTGCTAACACATTTAACCCATCCTATAAAAGCAATGGGAATCAAGTATATACAGCCAGCAGCTAGGGAGCAGCGTTTCAGAGTACCTGTCTGTTCTGGGACTTTATCCGGCAACCATCGGTTCCAGAGCCAACAGACTAGAGACTGAGATACTATCTATATAGCTATATGATAAGGACACCATCAACAAATGAGATTGCAAGGCAAAATGTTCCTTTAACATTACTTACCTTTAGCCCCTCTAAGCACAAAGCCGAAACCCTCGCTGTCCTTTTTCTGTAGAAGCACTGTCTTCTCCTTTATTATGTAGTCACTAGCAGAGATGACACAGAAAACAGAGAGAAAGAGAGTAAGAGATGACACAAGACTGAAAAGAAAGACAGACAACTAGGAGGACACGCATTGTACATCCTTGCATGTCTTTATTAATCATTTAATCAATGGGATTAATGGGTGTAAAGGGAAGTTTTAAATCAATAAATAACAACATTTATCTCGCTGGTGTTACTTCCCCCCCCCCCCAGCTACACCCATCCTCAGCTGTCTGCTTCCAACTTATTTTTCCCCCTTGTGATGACATCACCACCAGTATAGGCAAAAAACATATTTCCACAGTGTATTGGGTTACAACTGGAACCACTGTGTTTATGTATTTACAAGAGTAAACGTACTCGTCTACATGTTTACTTTTGTACTATATTCCTGTTCAGGATTTATTTGTTGCTTTTTGTTCAGTTAACTATGTTGAAATTTCATTGTAGCCTCCTGTTCTCATTTATTTTTCTCTTAGAGTGCGGAGAGGAGAATACTTTGCGGTCCTTTCCTAGTAAAAGGCATGTAGGGATACAAAATATGAGATTAGAGGAAATCCAAAATGAATGTAAATTTTGGAGCAGAACTCTTTGCTTACAAACTTAAGTACATCTACAACCCCATAGATATAACTTGTTCCCCTTTAGAGTAGGCCGACCCCTGGTTAAACTACCCAACTATGTATAAAAGAGGTACAACTAGTAAAACTAGCTCCACCTTAACCAGCAACAACCTACACTTTAATGCTTCAGTAATACAACTTTTCTTACAATGTCCTCTACAAAACATTGATGAGGGGTTCTTTTACTTGTAAAACTTTGAGTACATTGAGATGATAATGCTTTCTTCATAAGTTGGATTTGAATACAGAACGTAAGCATGTAATGGAGAATTTTCACATTGTAAGGATGCAGTTTGCAGTTAAAATCACAAATTTTGATAAACGTATGTTACTTAAAGACAAATTTAGGATACCATTAAATCCTTAGGGTGTTAAAAATGTCATTAAAATATTTGTTCCTGAGTTGTGTTGCCCATTACAAGATGCTTTTCTTGTCCTACTAGTAATAGAGGTGAGACATGTCACACACATCAATGCTGTGGTTTAAAGTGGACCTATCATGCTATATTTGAAACCTATATTGTCAATTATATAACTATATTGTTTGGTATTATCAAAATACCAAGCAGTTCACCCATTGTAGCCATCTCTCATACTGCTCATAGCCCTCTTTTGAAGCCCTGTTATGGCGCATTTCCATTGCAGGGCCTCGCTCGGCTTAGTACGGTATAGTTAGGCCTTGTTAGGACTGGCTGACTTTATGCTGCGTTTCTATTACAGTTTAGTAGCTGGGGCAGTAACTATAGTAACGCAGTGTAGGCGGAGCCGTGACGTCATCTTCATTGCGAAACACATAAAAACAACATCAGCCGTTAGCTGTTAGCCCTCAGAGCTCACAGCTCCTCATATCTGTTCAGAAACTAGACAAAAGTTAAACAAGAACAAACCACAGACTGTCTGTGTCATGGCGAACTCAGTCGCTGGTTTATTTATGTCTGTATAGGCCGTTGTTGTGAGTGGACGGTCGGAGCACATACTGCGTTAGCTAGCCGATCTCCATCATTTTGGAACGTGTATCACAATTAAATCACGGTCAAATATGTTCATCTTGTTGTAGTTGTAGCCCCCTTGCCAGCGATTCTCTCTCTAGTTTAGCATACTCAGCCCGACTCAGCCCGGTTGCTAGCCCGCTTAGAAGCTCGATTTTATGGGGCCAGAAAAACTGTGAAATAGTACCCGCTAGCCAGTACTACGCCAAGTGGAAACGCAACCAAAAACGGGCCGCGCACGGCTCGGCATGCTTAAAACAGCGCTCCGCGTTGTAGTGGAAATGCGCCATTAGAGAAACGATCTTGGGTCCTTAGCTTGAAAAAAAAGAAAGAAGAGGAGGCGGAGCTAATGCCTGATCAGAATTCTACCGGAGATAAAGTTAAATTCTGCTGTGATAAAACGCCATCCTGTTCTAAACCATGTCAAGGATTATTTCTGAAACAGTATGGAGCTCAAATGCTTTTTCTCTTGCAGGTTTGCCACAGGGTGAGTTCTTTTTTTATTTCCTGCTTTTTAAACACATGTGCTCTACAGTACAGGTTAGCTCTGAGTGTTAGCGAGACTTGCTAATGTAAACGCACCGGGGACACATATTTATGTATAAAAGACATCACAGAGTGCATTTTGCATGATAGGTCCCCTTTAAATAACTTCTGTGTGAGAAACAGCACCGCCTCTCAGGGCAGCTGACTTCTCTGGACTCTTGTCTTCTTATGAATGGAAAGAAACATTCAGTCAGTCAGTGCGTCAGAGGGGTATATATACCGTGTCAGCTGTAACATACTGTAACCACATGCTGATAATCCCACTGGCACCAAATAGTCCCAGCCCACTCCATCTGTTAATCCCTCTCTCCTTTTCTCATGACTGGCTTTTCTCCTTTTTACATGTCTCCATCCTTATGGCCCCTGCCTAACCCAATACTTCCCTTTATATTGACTTCCTTCCTTTGTTCTTTAATCTTCTGCTAATTTATTTCTAATCACATTTCCCCCTTACGATCTTTTAAAGTCAGTCTATTGAGTGTGTGATGCTCTCTACAGGCTGTGTGAGCCTCTCTGTCTCTGCCAAGGCTCTGTCTCTTTGTTATTCTTGTCTTCTTCTGTCCATCTCTGTTGCCCAGCCCAGATTTCTAACACACTGAGGCACCAAACAAACACATTACTGTACGCACAGACGCATTCACACAAATCTTAAGGTAGGTCTGAGTGAGAGGAAATTACAATTGGGCAGTAGGTGCAAAGTAATGTTGATGAAATATATACACACACATTCTTCTGTAGCTGTTTATCTGTCTCTGCAGGGAACACGAGCAACAAGTCGCTCAACGGAAATAAAGCATGTGTGCAGACAACAGACATATCAGTTCAGGAGACTTTACAATTAACAGCAGATCATGTTTGCACTTGTTTCACCACTGACAGTGCTTAGTCTCGGTAGTAAATAATACAATGGATACATAGTATCCTAGTTTTATGCAAACGCTAGACAACATGATTGAAGGCCTCAAAACTTAAGACACACACAACACTTAAAACGTAAAGAAATATTACATTGATCACTGGGGCTGATGATAAACTCTAAAATCTTGACTCATTAAAAAAAAGAAAAGGCAGAAAATGCAAAATATTCCTGATGAAATATACTTTGTGAAACCAGCATTCAGAGAGAACTAAATACCTGGTCGGATCTGCTATTACAGTGACACACACACATGTTTAGTGATCCGATCACATTTGGTCCGTTACACCTGGCTGCAGAATTCGTTGACATGTGAGTCTTGAGTTACCATTATCTCCTCAAATCTAATTTCAGGTCTGCTCCGGTTTGAGCGATCAGATCCCAAATTGACCTCAAAGCGCCTTGAGAGTATTCACACCTGTTCTTAGAGCTGTCCACTTGTGATTGAATCACAAGAGACACATCTCTATTCCCAGTCTGAATAGGGCCAAAGTTACACTCACAAGTCTGCCAAGTCTTTCGCAATGTGAACAAATAATTATTGCAACTGCGAGTTTCTTTCTAACGTGTACAAGAAAATGAGCCTGATCATATCTGTCGTGTTTATGTTGTATTCTGTATCCTTTATTCACCCTGTTTGGTGTATGTGTGACCGCTCAGGGCTAATACATAGCACTCATCCCTAGAAACCCATCCAACCAACTCAGGCTTTGCTGTCTTCAAGGATATCATCAACTGTTCCAGTTCAGTGGCTCGATCAACCGAAGTCCAAATCATTTCTGGACTGAATGTTCCTCCAAGTTCGGCTGAGAAATAAAGCCTGCATGTGCAAAATACTGCACCAGTGAATCCTTAGAAGCCCCCGTTGCCTCAAAGTGTTCTGTGTGCTGGTCAGCGGTATCAGAGAGTGTTGAGGCTTTCCTTTTCAACTTAAAAAGTTAGGAAGTATTACATGAGCAGGTCACATTTTAAAACTGTTGGGTGTTAATCATGGAAGCAATGCATAAACTCAACTGTGTTTTTTTTGTTAGCAGCCTGCCTGATTATGTTGCACAAACAGGTTATTAGAAAACAGACCTTAAATCTACACTATCTGCTAGGTAACATGTCATGTAAACGTGGGTATATTTCAACTTATCCCAGTTAATAACTTTGTTTTGACACTTTGTTGGGTGTTTGACAGAAATCTGCCAAACTTTGAAACTGTCTTTACAAGGTGACACCTGAACGCACCATTGCTTTTGCTCTTCGCTAGGATCCTGCAGCCACTAAACTGGTATCATGGGGAAATGCCACTCAGCGTTGCATCCTCCTTATTAGCAACCTAAAGTTGTGTCAGTATCTGAGCTGGACAAACCAGCACAGTAAAGCGATTCAAGCCGAGATATTAAACAGATCTGGCCACGCAGGCTTCCGTAGAGGTGTCAGAAAGGAGCTGGAACTTGTCATGCATGCTGCATCGTTAAAACTCTCTCACCATGAGCTGTTTCCAATTTGTCGGCAGTCTTGCTCCCTCTCTCTCTCTCTCTCTTTCTGTCTCACTCACACACACACACACACACACACACACACACACACACACACACACACACACACACACACACACACACACACACACACACAGTCCAAACATCATGCATTCATGCAATCATCTCATACACTACCACAAACAGCACGTACACTTCCTCTGTGTCCATCCTCTCCCTTACTTTCATCTGTTCTTTTAACCCCTCCACTTCCTTTACATATATAGTATTCTCTCTTCCCATGTTTCCCTGTCATGATTTTCCATTCATAAAAATGGATTTGACTGAGATAAGATTTTTGGAACACAGTCCCATCTGATACAACATAGTCAAAAGGTTTGATAGGAGGGTCTTGAAGTTGTAGAGGCTGCACAGGTAGCCTCACCCTCGTCACGTGACATATCGACACAGGACAAGTCAGACCTTTGCTATGTAACATTATACATCTTGTGCAGACCTTTCTGGAGCCTCTGCTGCTGTCCTCCCTCTACTGTAGCCGAGCGCACATGCCTTTAAAACACACTTAACTTACCTCACCCACCAACCTCTAACATGCACTCACACACACACACACGTTTGATGTAAACAAAGCATGAATGAGGGGGTACAGCAAGGAAAAGAGAGGGGGAGGAGGAGAGGCATCGACGCAGACAGGAAGAGAAGAGTGGACAGAGAAACAGCTGGCGGGTAAGTGGCGGAAGGAAGAAGAGGAGAAGGAGGAGGAAGAGGAGGAAAGAGAGAGATAGACGCAGAGAGAGGGGGAGAGATAGAGAGAGGTACAATTTTCTGGAATAGGCACTCACATCATCTCTCAGAGCCTCGTTCCACGTATGTCGAAGCTGTCCTTGTTCTACTTGCCCTCCCTCCCTCCTTCCTATCCTCACTACGACTCCTGCTCTCTCCTTTGCCTCCCTCCTGCATTCGAGGACGATCACAGCCCCTTGTCCCCTCTCTGCTCACATCTCTGCCTTTTTGTTTCTCTCCCTGCATATCGGGCTATACCGCTGTGATTCTGTGTAGAGTGTGTGTGTTTGTGTGTGCATGCATTGGTGATGGGGGGGGAGAGAGAGCGATAAAGAGAGGGCATCAAAGAAGGAGAAAGAGAGAGAGGGTCAAGAGAGAGCAAGAGTGACAGAGATAGGGTGAATTAGAGGGAGAGGGAGGAGGAGGGAGATGGGGGAGGGAGCAGGAGTACCAACAAATGTTAACAGAAGGTCCACATGATTGTAGCTGCATGTCTGCCTGGGTGTGTGTGTGTGTGTGTGTGTGTGTGTGTGTGTGTGTGTGTGTGTGTGTGTGTGTGTGTGTGTGTGAATCTGTGTGTCCATCATACAACAGCAAAACCTGATCATCCCGTTATTGTAGCCAAAAAACCAAGGTGAAGTCATACATGGTGGTGAACAACTTTATATTGCAAAAGAAGCAATGCATATATCTAACAAGGCACACACACCACCACCACAGCAGTGTACATCGGGGTGTCCTAACTGTGTGTGCTCACTCGTCCTTATTTGACCCGCTGTTAGCAGAGTACTGGTCTCCTGCGGGCTGGGGAAGGAGCAGCTGCATGTAAAGATTGTGTACAGTTTGATCCGTGCAACTGCGGCAATGACAGAGATCTGAACCATCAGCTCAGAGCTTTCATCTCTTTTGAAATGAACAGCAGTGTTACAAGTATGCCAGCAGATGCTGCTAAAACAGCAAAGGTAGAACAATCTGTGTACAGCCAAATGTTTACAGAACAACACAGGTTTGTTAACAAATAACAAGGCTTGGGCGTGAAAGGAGGTTATTATTAGAGATTGGCAGATAAGACTCTCTTTATTAATGAGTATTAGAACAATAACTAGCTTCAGACCGAAGGCAATACTATGTTATTTTAGGATTGTCTACGAACCATACATGTCTGTTTAAAACCTGGCAGTAGCAATCCATCCGTTTTATCCGACACGGCCAAAGTGATGGACCAAACTGACATTCCAAACCTAAGTGGCATACCTTAATAATTGACACCCTTGACCCTTTAAAGTCCATATTGGTCGTGGTTTGTTCTTTATAGTTTGAGTGAAAAAATACCAAACACGGCAGAGGGCATTCTTCTTAAGACTTTCTTTCAAGCCGCTTTTGCCCCATGTTGCTTTCTCAAAAAACAATGCATTTGTCTCTTTTCACCCAATTGTAAACCTAGAATGCCCTTCTTCCTTCATCCAACCTCTTCATCCCTCTCCAACCATCCTTTCCCTTGAGAGTGCCCTTCACCGTCTGACCTCCAGATGGAGACACCACAGGGGAGAGGGAGTGATGAAAAGAAAATTAAAACGTACAGGGGGTTAGATATACAGTGATAAATAGAAAGCATGGGAGGGATGCAGAGATGGTCGGGAGAGGTGGCCAAATAAAGACGAATTAAAGAAAGGGTGGATGATATATTACATGTCATGATAAGGGCTGTGAAAGTAGGCGGTTCTGAGTCAGCCATGCCTCCCTGCCTGCCTGCCTGGCCAAACAAATAGTTTCTGCACAGTCTATGCTGCAGTACACAGCTTTCATTATCCATGATGTGTGTGTTTGCAAGTGTGCACAAACATATGTGTGTACATTTGCCTGGGTAAGTGCGTTAAATGTCACTGTTGATGAAAAGCGCGTTAATAATAAATGATACTGTGTGCATGTGAAAGAGAAAAACACAGTAACAGAGGCAAAACCTGAGAAGCAAATAAAGCAGGCATGAAAGAGAAAGTTGAGGAATAATAAAGAATGATGATGAATGAAAAAGAGAGAAAGAGGGAGGCTGAAGGCGGGATGTCGTTTAAATAATTGATGTGATTGATAATGGATTTATTTCTATGTAAATAATTCTCTCTCTGTTCAGTCCAAGTCATGGACACTGGAATGAGTTTGCCTCAAAGCGACAAGGCGCTCGCCATGATGCAGATGGAAGGCATTAAAGGGAATGACATTATATTGGGGCGAGTTAATGAGGAGAAATCACACTCGCATACTCAATACAGGACTCAGGCTCATCTGACAACAGACCAACTCCACAGAAGATCCAGAGAGGTTTTAGTTCTGACTCCATGATCAAAAGCTGAATAGGAAGCGGTTTTCTGATCAAAACTGATGAAGTTGATCAGGAAGTAGCTTAGTAAGTAGGGACTTGGCTTGAGAAGTGGAGAGTCACCGGTTCAAGTCCCAGAACGGACCAAGAGAGCGGACCTTGAGAGTTTGCTCCTGTTACCCTTCAGCAGGGCTGGTGCCACTACAGGTATATTATAATAACACTAGGATGGGTTAAATGCAGAGACTTCATTTCACTGTGCTGTGTACATTTGTGTATACAATCCATTTGCAGGTGAATGGTGTGTGTGTTTCACCACAAGAAGCATAATGACATTTTTTTTTAAAGTAAAGATCTCAGCTGCGTTTGAAGTACTTTTATGGTTTGTACTATGGCACAGTATTACAGTACAATGCATCAGTTCAGATAGTAGGGCAGTAATGATGACTGGGTGATTGTATAACATCGGTCAACACTATTTCAGACTTAGTCATCATAGTGGTCTGAAACCACCTTCATCATTGCTAAAAAGTTCAGACCACATAAAAACTGCAGCCTGGCAACACTGCATGCATAGCACCCTGAGCCAAAAGGCAGACAAACTAAAAGGAAAGTTACTCTTAAAACCCAATACGAAGAAATCAGCCCGGTCTGCCCATGTTAAACTCAGCAGAACACAGTAGTCAAAACAGAGCTGGATAGCCTGTGCCTGGAGGATGACTTCAGTATGAAAAGCAGGCGGATCAGCATTTCGACCTGAGGCAGGGAACCCTCACACATCTTCATCCTACTGCACTCATTACTCACAACACATCACAATAAACAAATCAAAGCACCACTGGAACAAATGAATTACTACATGAATCATCTGGAGGGATGAATACAGTATGTTACTGTAACAACAACTCCCTGTCTCAACATGTGCTGTGTGTCAAACATTGCAGCAGCTGTGTCATAATGAAAGGATGTCAGTTTGACTAGCGGATGGACAAGTTACATCATGCACTTAAGCAAAGAGCTGAACCCCTTCTTGGCTCAGTACTGTTCTGTGGACAATGGAAGCAAACATTGCAATAATCTGAATGTCAAGCTGTTCTTTTCTTAACCTTTATTTAACTAGAATACGTCAGAGTCATAATCTGACCCTTTCATGCTTCGTTCTGGTCCTCATATCACACTCAATAGGCATCGAAGCCGTATCCAAAAGCCTTTTTGCTCAGCCCAATTGGCCCAAATTGGGTCCAGCTCACATACCCTTCTGTTAGGTGAAGTACCACTCTGTAGGTCTTACACTTGATGAACCCTTACCCCTAGCCCTGTGAGCTTAAGCAAGACCCTTAATCATCTTTGCCCCTTCGCTAAGAGAATAATGTGCAGGTTGCTTCTGCTTTGGAAAAAACTGGCACTCATTCAGTTTGCTGTACATCAGTGATGGCTGGCGGCAAGGTAACTCTTACCTGGGAGCATCAAAGCTGTCATAGGATCCCACCGTGTAATGACGGAACAGCCTTTTGGCCCGCTCTCCACGACTCTCTAAACAGAAAATCACATGGACATCAGAATGATCGACCCGCATTAGGTCCATTTGAAAGATTAATTATGCAGCAGGTACTTTTTAGTTACTGTATTACTTTTACTGCCATCACAGGAGAATCTCTCTTTTTAACAGATTGTTTAAGAAATGTGGTCTTCTGATTAAAATCAACTTAAACTAGATCTGCAACTTTAACCTAACGAGGATTACGTTGAATATATTCCATGTGCGGTGTGCCATTTTAAAATGAACAGCTTTATTTGATCGACTGTTTGTCAGATCAACAAAAACAACCAAGTTAAGTTGTGAAAGGCATTTTGATTATTTTTTAATTTGCCCTTTTCACCTTAGTTAGAAAGAGTATACATGAAGCTAAAACCAGCCATCAGTTAGCTGAGCATAAATAATAGAAACATGGGTAACATAGCTAGCTGGTGGTAACTGACTAAATCCACCTTCCCTGCACCTCTCCAATATACCTTGTCTCATCAAAACTAGCATGTATAACCATTGTCAGGCCTTTGTGAAAGGCTAAATTAAAGTTTATATGAGCTTTTTTTTTATTCATTGAAATGATGCTATGTGTTATGATGAGCCTGTGCCTGTGAGTGTGTGTGACTCCTAGTGATCACCTGATCGGTTGTCTTGGCTTCGAAGCATCACTTCCTCCACACAGTCAGAGGGGAACCAGCCTGTGCGCCCCCTGACCGTCCCCTCCCAGTACCCGCCCTCGCCAACACTCAACACTAGAGAGGTGGGCATGAAAGAGAAGCATGTCAGGAAAAGGCAACACCACATGCACCAACACACACACAAAGACACTAATTAAAAATGAACACACTCAAAAAGACAATAATGTACAGACAAAAAAGAAATTATGTATACAAACATGGACATGCAAACCTACATACTCACCAAGACATACATACCTGGCGACACCATAGACTCACTCACAAACACACACATATTCATACCTGTAGATATTGAATACAAACATATATAGAGACCTTACACTTATGTTAAGACAAGGCCATTGTATAAACTCATTCCAAGACACTAAGATCTGGTCTGGCTGAGAATGATAGATCTCCTTAACAAGCATCTCCTGTCAGGCTTGTGTAATATTTTTATAAGTAATAAGCTTGGCATTGTTTATCAAAGCTAGTCAACTCAATGTTGTCTCAAGTGATCCTTGAAGTAATAGTTTGACATTTTGGAAAAAATATATATATTAACTTTGTTGCTGGGAGAGAGATGAGAAGATTTATAAAAAGTTATAGCTAAACTGTCCTAAACGGTTGAATGTTACTTCTGTTATCAGAAATGTCGTCATATAATTTGCAGCCAGAAGCAAAATACAAAGAAGTTTTAAGGTTCAGTTGGTAAATATTGATCAAAATAACATATTTTTCCCATTTGAAATTACATTTTTATTAAACTGTCACTTTTTCTTTTAACCATTATACCAGCTGTGTTTGTTTTTGATGATCATTTTAAGTATGGTGCTTTGGTAAGTGGATATTTGCCAGTCTACATTAGTATTAGCTAATGTCAGGTAGATAAAGTACCTGTTCTTGTGATGCAGCATATTGCTTTGTGTCCAACATTTTTAAATAAATGGTGTTAGCTTAAAAGCTCCTAATTAAATCTTAACTCAATTTAAACCCCTACAGTCAGCAGTTTAGACGTTATAAGGAACTATTTGGAGCGATGCCAAAGCCCTAAACAGAGAGGTATCTTCTACTTTAAGATATTTAAAAAAGATTCTGTAATGTTGCTTTGCATGTTTCTGACCCTGCCTTCAGTTCACTTTGACATTTTAAGTGTTTAAGCATGTCTAAATCCGGCGTAAACAGAATCACACACACTGAGACAAACACTTTGAATATACATGGAGGACAAAATGCAGTATTATGCTCCAGCACACGCACACATACTGTATACATAATGTGTTTCTTGATATGAAAATGAACATAGTCACCTTTGACCCTTTCACCCTTATTAAAGCTGATTTCCCGCTCTCCCTGGGCAGAATGTGATCGAGTAGCTACAAAGACTCGTCCTGGGACAGCGCTGTAAAGGCGTCTCCGCTGGTCTGCGGTCTGTGCAGCCGTGGTGGCAGGGGCAGGCCTGGATGGGAGGAGCAGGGGATCAGAACAAAGTTTAAAACTTGAAGTTCCCTATAGGCATGGGTGACTTAATGGCTATGTTCAACTGGTTACTTCAGATAGAATTTGAAGGATGCTTAGGACTGTATGAGACAATGTTTCTATTTTTGCTATTAAGTCAAATTGTATTGGTTTAATTTATGACCATTTTAAGGTGTGTACACTCATTTGACATATATTGCATTCTCCTTATAAGAAGTTGTAAAATAACTTATTAAAAGTCAGACAGAAACCTTTTTTATTTATTATTGCTTGTTCCTGGGTTTAATAATCCGAGTACCCTAACCAATCCTACAAAACAACTCATTGAAGAATTACCTCTCTCACGATAACAAAACTAGAAACTATATTTAAGACCTGAAAAATGAAACATTTACTTTTACTTTTACAACCCTTTAATGACTTAGGTAGTAACACGTGGCGACCTATCAGTCCCATTCAGTACTTTTGGTCAGTCATCATTCTCGGTCAGAGCAATACAAAACTGGAACATTAAAATTAAAGACATACATACACATACCACCTTCACAGCTCACTTAAAAACATGGTTCACTGAGAACTACACCTGCACACACTAGTCTGTGTTGAATATGGCGTGTGTGTTACATGGTGTGTTACATGTTGTAATCATGGATGTTGCCCCTCGTTTCTGTTATGTGATTGTGATGTGCTATATGTGACATGTACTGTATGTAGTAACGTGTGTTGTTTATTGTTCTCTTTTATCCTCTCTTATCCTTTCGCATGTATCTACTTGTCCTTAATCCTTTTTATTTTATTTTATATTTTTTTATAACTAATGCTGTTGATATATTGTGATTTTAAGGGTGTCTATTACCATCTGACCAGGGACAACAGCTGGAAATTAGCCATGTCGGCTAAAGCTGCTCCATTTACTGTTTTTGTGACAGTTCTTCGATGGGGACTGTCCACGACACTATAAATACATAAACTAAATTAAACTAAACTACATCGAAAACATTTGAAGGACTCTTATGGGACCTGCAGACTCAATAATACTTTAACCAGCCTAGCTTAAAGACAAGTTCCTGTTCAGCAGCATCTTGTGATCAGATGCCAGCTGTTTGCCCCTCACCCCTGTCTCCGACTCTGCCTGCTCCGGTCCTCCTTGTCTCCGATTCTTCCTCGGGACGGGGAGCGCGTCCTCGCCCCTCTGGGACTGCTGGAGCTCCGCAGGGTTCCTGTATGTTTATAGCCCTGACAGAGACAGACAAACAAAGAAAGGGGGAGAAAACATATTTCTTTAAAGATGTTTATATGTAACACTATATTATTTCAATGTAGCTACGTATATTCTGTGATTTCACTTACTTTGCTTTAAAAAGCTCAAAATGTTTTGAAAAACAACATTCATAAAATGATTAATACTTTATTTTTAATGTATGTACAAACATCTAATAAATGATGCTGTTTTATTCCATGATGTGGTATTCATATGGCCTATCACACAACATGGTCACTTGCTCAGACTAAAGTAGAGGACCATTGCACTGTTGAGGAACCTGCCATCTAAGTTGTTCCTACATTACATGATGATTACAATGTAGTTTTGTATATGTTATGATAATAAACCTTGAATCTATGAACCTACATGTATGTATAGCTCAATCGAGTAAGCAGGATATATAAGCTGTAGTGAGAACTGTTCACCACTAGAGGTAGATAAAGGTTATGCATTATATTGTAAAAGCCCCCTTCAAATTGTATGATTTGCATAATCACAGGGATGAAATTGCTCAAGCTTCATTCTATGGATTGTAAATATCCATTATCTGTGCATTAATCATTTCTCCAAGCTCAGAGGTAAAAGGTCAATCGTACTGAAATGCAAGTTAATAAAATACATTCAATACCTTCCTAGAGAACTTCTGAAGGAGACCAAACAATCCAGGAGTGTCATTTTGCAATAATCAGTGATGTGTGTGTTCAATGGGGATTAACCAAACATGTCAAATGCTCCAAAACCTAGACCTCAAGGTAGGGTTGTTTTGACAACTTCTGCTTCCACTGCCAATTATCACTTTAAAAGTCAATTTTAAGTGAACATGGATGAGAAGTTTTATTATTTTATTTATCATGGTGTCAGAAAAAGACTATTAATGAACATGACAGTAAACAACACACATGTGGGAGCCAGTTATCAGGGCCATCTGCTGTTAAGATCAAAGCTCAAGAAGCTACTAAATAGACTTAGGGGTGAGAGCTGCGCACGCACGCACGCACGCACGCACGCACGCACACACGCACGCACGCACGCACGCACACACACACACACACACACACACACACACACACACACACCTGCACAGAGACAATATTGGTCCCTGGGGCATTGGGCACTGCCATCCAGTCTGGGAGGTTCATACTGCTGTCACTGTTTGCTCGGAGGAAGGGGTGAGGGTGGGGTATCGTCAGGGTACGGGTGCTCTCTCGCCTCTGCGGGGCGTACTTTGGAGATTCCACAAAGGGAACTGGCAGGGGAGACAGGAAATAGTGAAAGAAAAAGGTACATTGTAATATCACATTTTTATTGCTCTTATTTTGCACAACCTCCCCATCCAGAGTGTACATACTCAGATGGGTGCTGTAAATGATGCTCCTGTACATTCGTTATGTCATATTTATATGCAGCTCCCCTATACTTCTAAATTGAACCTCTGAATCCCCCGTGGTGATCAAATGTCCAATGTCAGATAAAACAAAATGTCATTACGCAACGTTACACATCCCAAAATTGGCATGCAAAATGAAGCCTGACCTTAGCGACTTACCCACATCTGTGTCCCGGTGATTTTTGATGATTTCTCCCAGCTCAAAATTGCCTGACATAACAGCCACCTGACACACAAACACACACACATTTACAAATTATTGGAAAATACACTCTTATGGCAAATGCATGGACAAAATAAAATGGTGTAACAGACCCTTGACTCGTTTAACTCCATTTTGTGTCCACTCTACTTGTACCCCTAATGGGCTAATTTACAAGTTATGTAACAGATTTATGGACGTGGCATATTTCAACAATGTTCACATGGATTTGCTGTTTTCTTGATAATAAAAGGAACAGCAAAATAAGTACATCCATGTGAGACCATGTTTGTGTTCTTTCCACCATTGCACAATGTTGCAATGGTGCAAGCTACAAACGCCAGCACAAGGTCTGCCAAACTGGTGTTTTCTCCCAGTTGTCTCGTCACGTTTCCTCTCTTTCATGCACTTAAACACAACAGATTGTCTCAGCTGGCTTGTTCTGCATCGACAGAGTTAATATATCCAGATTAAGGGGTCACACGCATTCCTGCCACCTGGGACCTCCGTGTGCATCGCAGCACACTAATGGTTTAAAGTGAAATTAGGCCCTGGCATTTTCTGCTACGCTAACTTAATAAGACACTAAACCATAACACCACCCAACATGCATAATTACTCAGCCAGGCGCACAGCCATTACCTGAAAAGCGGTCTGCCCACTATTGTTCTTTGTGTCTTTATTTGCTCCCCTGTAGAGCAGTATTCGCGAACAGCTTTCCTGCAACAAACATCACTGATTAGTGTACATGAATTGTAGAATTGCTGTTTAATGTTGAAATGCACCTTTTCTGTTGTAAGCATTAGCTTAATAAAGCAAAGTATTACCTTCTATTGACATTTTGTACTATTGTTCTATTATGTTAGCTAAAACTCAAAACTGATTTTTAAGCAAGGTATACCATCAAATTCAAACAAAATATACAGGTATAAAAGTGTTCTATTTTTGATTAAATAGCAAAGATAAAGAGCATTTATGTTGCATTCACCTTGTTATACTGTATCTTTAAATGTTTTTATGCTAAAGTGTTCTTTACTGTGTAGCTGACATTTGATCCCCGTTAAAAGAAAATGTGTCTACCTTGTTGTATAAAGCACAGATGTGCAAGGCAGTGTTTCCAGAGGCATTCTGGGAGGAAGAATCTGCCCCATAGAAGAGGAGGTGCTCCAGATGCTGCGAGTTACCATTTTGACAGGCCTGACAGAACATGAACAGATTGTGGAGGAGTCATGGTAAGACAGGAGAGAGAGGACAGGAAGAGGTGGAAGGACAAAGAGTTTGTAAGGAAAGTAAGAAAATGTACCAACGAGTAAAACAGGAAGGATTTATAAGGTCACGTTTGATAGAGATAACAGAAAGGCAGAGAAGCAAACAATGATGAAGAACACACAGTGACAAAGGGACAGGAATAGGGTGACATGGATCAAGTGACACAACATTTAATTAACACCTAACTCAGAGGGCGTGAAAACACAGAGGGAACACAAGTGAGATCTAATCAAAATAATAATTTTAGAATCCTTATCATACAGTATGGTTACACAAATCCAGCCCATCATATAAGGGAAATCAAAACAGATAACTGTATATCACTTAGTCATAGGCAATTTATGGTGTTATCAATTATGCCATTGCATAATAAATGCTTATTTCAGCAGCTGTTTGTAATTCAGGACACTTACAACCTTTTTGAAGTCAATGCCTTAACAATATAATTTTGCGGAGAACAGATATTAAACTACAAGTTATCATGGCAACACTGCTTCATACTATACAATACCAGTTAACTTGGCTTGAAAATGATTCTTGATTAAATTAAATTAATAATAATTGTACCTTACTATTCAGTGGTAAAGGAATAGGAGAGGGAAACGGTATAGTGGGATTGATGAGAAAAAGTTTTAATTTGAAAAATGAAATGTTGATACCATAAACATATATTAACATTGTGTAAAGAATCCAGCATCTCTTAAATTATTTAGTAATTGCTTAATTGAAGCCAACAACACAGGTTTCTAAAGATAATTCAACAATAGTGTTACTTTTTTATTATTTTGTCCATGATGATCGTGTAGTGAAAATATGGCAGCAGGATACAGCAGTACTAAGGGCAAAATATATATTTCTTTTTAACCTACACCTCAACCATACATTTTTTGTTGCAAAGGTAAGTGCAGTAACACTTACATAGCCGATAGAAGATGCTGATACCTTTATTTTCTGTCCACTTCACTGCTGGAAAATGTTGCCACAGAAGCTTTGTGGATGGGATGAAGGGTGAAAGGTGTCCGAGATAAAAGATGGGTGGAGTTTCATGGCATGAATGGTTTTTGACCCAGACACAGACGCTGTACATACGGAGACACTGGAACATAGAGTACACTGGTACATTACAACAAGGATGCGTGCCCACTAATACATACAACAGAATTTAAAATCCCAAGTTAAAAATAGACACAAATTAGAACACTGACCCCACTGGATAAAAGAAACACAAAGACCGGACAGTACCTGATGTGTCTCGTCCCAGCCGTTCTCGTCCCTGATGCCCAGTTTGGCGTGGTGGTAGAGCAGTGTTTCACAGCAGGAGGTGTCCCCCCCCGTCAGCACAGTGTGATAGAGCGGTGTCAGCCCCCGCCGGTCCTTATAGTCTGCAGACGCACCCAGGGACAGCAGGACCTGCAGAGAAACACAGGGGAGATAATAATGCAGTGAGAAATCAGTTACTTTCTATTTCAATTCAAATCAATTACTTGTGTGCTAATATTGTATCAAAATAAAAAAAGCAGCAAGGAAAATATCATAAGGTGATTTCCAACTTCCAGTCGAGGAATATTCATGGGATTTTATAGAAGGATGCGAACACATAGTCAGGGATTCAAAGAGGTCATTCAGTGCCTTGGGCTAGAGAGAATGATGTATTCAATAAGAGTCTGCAGTTTATTTATGCAGCTGTTTCTTTCCTTTGTGAAAAACGTTTTCTCTGACAATGTTCCACATGCAATTACTACCCCCTAAATTATTTGGATCCCTCTTCACATGCCTTACTTATCGAAGGTGTGGGAGCATAAATTCTGGACAAATGCATTAAATACACACTTTTAATCCAGGCAATCTGAATTTAAGTGTTTTTTTTCCCTCTCTGGATGAATAGAATAATAGGTGTGTTTTTTGTTCTTGTTCTTTGTTTGTGGGTGAGTGTTGATTGTTGCGTGGGAATGTCTGCGTAATCGGTCTTTAGGCCATTTGCTTACAGAGCAACACAAATTAAGATAGTGTTCGTTTCAATGCAAGTACCCAAGTGTAGGTTTGATTTTCTTTTTTTTAATGGCATGACAATGAAAAAACATTACTCGTAATTAGATAACAGCATATCTAAAAAAAGGATAAAATGTGAGTCCATGTTTACCAGCAGGGCTGTATGGCGGTGGCCTCGCACAGCTTTGTGTAAGGGTGTGAGTCCATCTTTGGCACGGAAGTCAATGTGAGCCCCCCCCTCCACCAGGACCCGGATGGACTCCCCTCCACCCGGCTCACACTGCACCGCCAGGGACAGAGCCGTCTCTGGGGGACACACACACAGAGATTCAAGAGTTTTTCATTACCACAAAAGGATTGGTTTGAAAGTCAAATTATTTGGAGGGCACTGTCCAGATTGTTTGCTCCTAGGGGTCCGCTTGAAAACAATACATTTTAACACCTGCACCATTCTCCTTGTAGGTTAGACAAAAAACATATTAACAAATATTGAACTCCAAAAAAATAATGAACTGTCCACCTCTTCTGAAACTGTGTCTATGTTGCCCCAATGTTTTTTTGCTTCAAACTACCCTGTGGAGTTGTTGGTGGGGGTCCCTCATTAAAAAAAAGCAGCATATGTGCCTTTGAGAATTGAGAAAACATTATAAATTGCCCTCCAAGGTGTTACAGACAGCTTGCATCCGCCACTGTCCCTTCTGACAGAAAGTTCAAACAAAAATCACTTCAATCCCCAGCATGAGTGAAATTATATTATAAATTATTTCCAGGTCACCACAAAGCCTGAAAGAATTCAGCGCTTTAAAGTTTCCCGCATATGTTCGAATTAACTTCTGATTAAATGTAATATAAAATAAAAGCTCTTCTGAGAATTACCTCTCCAGATTATCCTACAGGTAGCAACATTAGCTTTAAAGTCAATATCAAAGCATTTATTCTTACTGATGCCTGCTACATCATACTTTGCCAATTATGCTAACATGAAATGGAGCTCCAAAGATTTCAAAACAAAGCAGTGCAGTGTCACAACACTTTAACTTCACTTAACATACTTCAATTTCTTCAGGAAGAAGGTACAATGGCCCCACAACAACAACAAAAAGGGTACAGAGCATTGGCTGCCAGACAACAAAAGAGTTTTTGGCAAAGAGGACAACGACTGAACGCTTTTATCCTCAAACTGATTCTGGAAAGCTCAAGTAGAAATCATTTGGGGCGAATGTTTTGACGGCTACCCACTAAACAGTTCCTCTGGCAGAGATGGACCTGAGCCATGCTGAACGTGGTCAAATAATTTAATGTCCTTTAAAGGAACTCTGTGTGAGCCTTCTGCTGGGTGGTAAAACATGAAGAAAATGTTTCAGACAGGCAGGTCGCATGTAAAAAAATGGTTTTGATCGTCTCTTTGCCAATCCAAAGCCTAATACCATAGACCTAATAGTTAATGGACACTGATTCAAACTGAAAGTCAAGAAAGAAGAAGATTCCACTTGAAATCATGAAGAAGAGCATTTCAACATTTAGATTTAGGTTGAACACATGGATTTAGTGAGTTTTATAGCAAACCTTCACTGTTCTAAGGCAAGGTCATTGTGGTAAAAACGTTAATATAACTTCATTAATTAATTCGGTAACACTTTATATTAAGGTACACAAATTAACCGTCAACTAGTTGTTAATTAACATGCATATTAGCAGTATATTGGCTCTTTATTAGTCATCATAAAACACTTATTAATGCCTTATTCTACATGACCGTATTCTACAAGTAATAGGCCATTAGTTGAGAGTTTTTCCTCAATAACCCTCTAATTAGTGCTTATTTATTGCAAATAAGGAAGTTGTTGTACATGAGTTTTGGTCTTAATATGCTCTGCTCAATATGGGCCTAATAAGGCAGTAGTACCACACAAATAGTAATTCTCCCATAATAACACTTAACAAATATGATCTATTCTTATGTAACAAGACATGAAACTATAAGTGTTAATTGTGTCTAAATAACTCAAAATTAGGTATTTATATCTAAGAACATATTCCCTATTTTAAAGTGAAGTCTTGTTCATAACCAATAGGCTAGTAGTTTGACTCGAATGGACCAGAACAGGTTCCCTATTCTAAAGTTGCCTCCTCTTCACACTTTGCAAATACATCAACAGTACATGAACAAAGTAGGCACACGTTGAAATATCTGTTTTATGAAACCACTACATTTCAGACACATGTACCAAAACATGTCAAGTTTCTCCAAGGCTGAGAACACATATGCAGCCTGTACTTTTTAATAAAAACAGATTTTTAGCAGATGTTATGTATTTGTGATCATACTGTGTGACCTGCTTGTACGTACTTACACAATAGGTGTACTGTTCTCTCTTTGTGTACTGTCTGTGTGAACATAGATTACAGCCAGACAAACTCTTTTGAGAGCCAGGGAATTGAGCAGCCATGCTCCTTTATTGAATTATTTGCAGTCCACTGACATTTAAACGGAGTGAAACTATAAACAAAGAAGTTACAAGGCACTTAATGATCTCATACATGCAAGTGTAACATACACAGATTAACACATAGGACCTCTAAGTGTAAACAAGGTAAATATAGCTAATGCTAGCTTTGCAATAAGCATGTAGGCCAGTGGTCACCAACCAGTCGATCGCGATCGACCGGTCGATCGCGAGTGTGGTTCGGGTAGATCGCGGACCGTTAACAAAAAAAGTAAAAAAATAAAGAAAAAGAAAAATAATAATGTTTGAAAAATATGCTGTCAATACCCCAAAACATATTCTTAGATATAAATACCATATTTAACACTTATAGTTTCATGTCTTGTTATATAAGAATACCATATTTGTTAAGTGTTATTATGGGAGAATTACTATTCTTGTGGTACTGCTGCCCTATTAGGCCCATATTGAGCAGAGCATATTAAGACCAAAACTCATGTAGCCTACAACAACTTCCTTACTTGCAATACATAAGCACTAATTAGAAGGTTATTGAAGAAAAACTCTCAACTAATGGACTACTACTTGTAAAATACGGTCATGTAGAATAAGGCATTCATAAGTGTTTTATAATGACTAATAAAGAGCCAATATACTGCTAATATGCATGTTAATTAACAACTAGAGAATGCAATTCCTGAAGAAATTGCTAGTGGGAATGCTCTATGCTGAAAAGCTGACGCTGAATTGCTATGCTGAAATGTAATGTGTAAGAAGAAAGTGAAGAATTTAGATTGAAATTATACATGAACACTGGGGGCTTGAATGTGTGATGAGAGAAGAAAAGAAAAGAAAATGGCTTGGAAAAGCTGCAGAATATTTGAACTGCAAACTATTGAACTATTGATGGTGAATGATCTGTCGCCATGGCAACGGTATTTGATGACACCCCATAATACGCTTAGATATGTTGATGGCTGCATCGTTACCAAACCTGTGAAGTTTTGGGCTGTTTGGAGCATTTTCACTGAAGTTATGAGAAAACCGTGTTTCATGGCGAGCATAACGGCATTTGAAGAAATCTAAAAACTGTCCCGTAGATGTCTTCACGGCTGGACTGTTAGCACACGTGAAGTTTTAGCACTTTTTGACAATTTTCATAGGAGTTATAGCAATATTGTGTTTTATCGCAAGGGATGCGTTGCCATGGCAACAGCTTTTGAGGAAAACTCACTAATGGTACATAGACATGTTGAGGGCTGGACGATTAACTGTGATCTGAAGTCTGGTGGTGTTTTGACCATTTTCATATCAGTTACCACAACATCGTGTTTTTTGGCGAGGGATGCATTTCCTATGGTGAGATCTCAGATTTGGAGTAGAGCTGTTGAGGCATGGGCCGGTGAAATGCAAGCGAAGTTTGGGGGACGATTGGACCGTGTCCATTGGAGTTACAGCGACATCTTGTTTGATGGCGAGGGATGCGTTTCCATGGAAACGGCATATGATGACACCCCATAATTGACTTAGAGCTGTGTTAACCATTATCTGAAGTCTGCTGCTCTGAGCATGTCAGTTGGAGTTATGACATCATCGTGTTCCATTATTTTGCTTAATTTATTTTTTAAGCTACGAGATGTTTTCCTACGTTTCTCATGAAAAATTATTATGAATAAGAAAATTAATAGCCATCAATTCCCGACCGAGCTGAACATTTTGATGTTCGAACGGAGTTTCTGCGATGTGGAATGTGGGAGAAGAAGAGGTGCAAAATAACCCGGCGGAATAATAAAGAATTTTGTGCATAGCATAACATAACAGATAGTTGGAATGCTGTATCAGCATTCCCACTAAACTAGTTGATGGTTAATTTGTGTACCTTGATATAAAGTGTTACCATTAATTATGTTACAGTTACCCTTGGCTCTGTCAATTTTGGATGGTATCATTCAAATGTAGCATAGAAAAGCATAGAAACAAAAATGTAACCCTAAGGTCCAGTTTAGCAATATCCCATTTTAATGTGTAAGGTGTGTGGGTCTGATGCTGTGAGTATGTTATTCAGGGGGCTTCATCAGGGTTGTCGATTGCCCCCTGGTGTTCTGAAGTGGAAATGTGTTTCACACCCATGATGACAGCCTGTGTTTGTGTTGTGACACTTTGCTCCCACAGCTGCTGGAATGACACAGCAGAGCACACCCAAACTGTAAAAGAGCAGTCTGCTGCCCCCCCCCAAGCACTAACGGGATCTGAGAAAAGACATACAATTGTGAACAACACTGGCCCAGATCCTTGACAAAGTGTTAGGCCAACAAAGAGAGCTTAGCGCAGAAACAACGGAGGGGGGAGATGGGCAGAGCTCCAGGTCAAAAAGCTGCTAATATATCTGAGAGAAAATGATTAACCAATAATGGATGTTAAACCTGAGATACACGTTTATATGTTTGATGGAAAGAAAGAACAGTTCAGTAAACATAGAGAGACACATAAGGGATTAGATTTTGCAATATAATTGTGTTTAGATGGGAATATGTACAGTTTATATGGCTTTCTTTGACTTTAACATTATTTTTTCTTTCTAATTTATTTCCCAAGCACATACAACTGCAGTCTGTAATTGCTATGAATGTATGATAATAGATACAATGATGACGCTGTGGATGAAACAAATCCTCAGGCTCTGAGGCACTCCTTACCGCCGGTGTCAGGGTCCTGATAGTTGGGATCGAGGCCTTTGTCTAAGAACTTCGTCATCTTGTCCACAGCGCTGGTTTGGATATAATCCATGAATTTCTTCAGACTAGCCTGCGTGCAGAGAGAGTCTTTTAAATATTGTTAATGCAGTGACATGCATACTGTATAATATTGATTTAAAACATGCAGCTGAAACCCTTCAGGGATCTACCCTCGGGGCATTTCATACATGGGTCTCATACCTTGGTGTGCAGTTTGGCTAGTTGCTTCTCATCCAGATTGGTCTGTTTGTACACCCTGGTCTTGTATCGAAACTAAACACAAGAGAGAAGAAAAAAAGTGAAGCCTTACTCCGAGGGTGTTTGTCTTTAATTCTCTTAGCTTTTGGCCTAGATTTACTAAATGGGTCTGCAGATGTATTATAGAACAAAGCCTTTTCTGCTTTGCTATACATAAAATGTCAAAAGGAGCATTTACAGTAGGTGTAGTTCATCTGGAATCTTGACGTAAAATAGAAAAAGCTACAGTAAACATGGTCCCAAGTATTCCTTTACAAAACTATTTTCTGGAATTATATTGCTCCTTCCAATGACACCATAATGATTTAAAAGAAAGTTGACATTTATCTGACATGTATCTAAACTTTTTAAGATTACATTACATTTGATTCAGATTTTGATCATTCGTTATTGAAAAACAGTGACATCCTGAGGACATGCAAGCTACATCTCTTCTCTATTGTGTAATAATGTGTCAATGGAGGACTGGAATATTACCTCTAAATATGGTACCCCTTTTTCAAAGGACTGTGGGTACTCTCTGAGCAGCCTCTCCTCCTCCAGGAATTTGGCATCATGACCATCAGTGGCGGGCTGGAACAGACCATAGTTCAGGACGTCCCGCAGAGATTCGGTCAGGGAGCACAGCACCTGCTGCTTGGCCTTCCACACCGTGGCCTCTGGGTTAAAGCGCAAACATTTCTACAGGAGAGACAGAGGGAGACGTAGGTCAGCTTTAAGTTTTAATTTACATTGGTTATTTCGTAAACTCTAAATGGAAAGACATAAAAATGATTTCATTAATCAAAATCTTACCATGTGATGAATCTGAGAAAATTATTGTGGTTAACAAGAGATTAACATTTCATTTGACAGCATTGAACCAGGTTACACATATAAAGGGCAGAAAAAGGGAAGTCAATGACGAGTTATTAAGAGTCACTTTAAAAGTGAGTGAGTGAAACCCAGTTTTAAGAACTATTTAACTTGGCTGCAATCTGCCTCATGCGGGTGAAATGATCTGTAATGTTTTGGTGGCCAAACCATCTGTGCTTTGAAAAATGAACTGTTACTAATGCAAAGATGCTAAAATTAGGATGTTTTGAATTAACTGTTGCAGAATGAACCACATTTCACTAACTAGAGCTGGCACTTTGGTGCAAAGGGAAATAAAGCTTAATATGTGTCTTAAAGTAGTTCTTTCTTCAATATTTGGCTTGAATAACATTACAGAAAACACTGCCTAAATGGGGCTCCTTAGTTGTTTTTCAAAAACACGACTTTGTATAATGTTTATGTTTAAAACTCGACCTTGAAAAACTACAATGGCAAAATTCATTGATCAGGTTATCTACGTTTTCATCTCGTTACCCCTAAAACTCATTAAGGTCCCCTTGTAGATGTCACTACTGTCTACAAGACAATCTTGTGGCAAGGGATGCTCCAGCCTGACTGCAGCACACTGAGGCTGTTCCCCCGGTGACCCAGCAGGGGGAGACAGGCCCAGAACGAAGTGGGTGATTCCCAGTGACCTCGGTCAACAGAGAGGACATGAATTGCAGCTTTAGTGTCTCCGGTGGGGTCGTGAATGGCCAAATGCATAACAGCTTAGAGGCTCAGTCAGCAAAGTGGGACGTAACTCACTACACAGATGGCTGACAGAAGGTTTTTGGCACCGCTCTCTCTCCTTCTTTCTCTCCATCGCTCGCTCCCTCTCCTTGCCCAGAGTGAAGTCTCTGACCTTGAGGCTACAGCAGGACGATTGGCCCATGCATGCAGAGTACAGATGCAAGGATCCCTGCCTCCTACTGCATCACTGCATTGGCTCTCTTCTCAGCCAGATATACAGCTTCTAACCCAGAGCGTTCTCTCAGTAACTGTCACTCATCTTAATCTCTCACATAGCCAACAAACGTGTGTGTGTGTGCGTGTGCGTGTGCGTGTGCGTGTGCTGTGCGTGTGTGTGTGTGTGTGTGTGTGTGTGTGTGCAATTACAGTCCCAAAAAAGGATGCCAGCTAGGATAAATGACAATAAGGATTATGATTCAGTTATTGTGCAGGAGTAATGACAAGCAATGACAATTATAATAGAAAAATGGAGATTAAAATATGTGTTATAGCTTTGCTTTGAACCTAAAAACCTTCAGATAGTTGCAGATTTCACTAAGGCAGCCACGCTGCTTATTGATCTGTATGCTTCCAAGAATGTAATTGATTGTACAGTTTCTAACCGGCCAGATAATTAAGGCCCATCACAATTTCCTCATTCCTACAAGGCATTCAAAATGCAGCTTCGAATTTTAAAGAGTTTTCCAACTGTTTCGCTGTACTGTTAGAAATGCAATAGTACAGCCTGTAAATTGTACTTTTATTATATTGCAATACATTTCATAGCTCTATGGTCATAGTTAAATTGTTCTAAACCTCAAATGGTGCACTTCATTACTCTCAAAGCCCTCAACAATCAGGCCCCCCCCTACCTCACAGACCTGCTGCACCACCACACCCCTTCCCGCTGCCTCCGCTCATCAGAAGCCAGCCTCCTATCCATCCCCACCCGCACCAATCACCGGACCTGGGGGGACAGAGCCTTCTCCGTCGCTGCCCCCTCCCTCTGGACTNAGGGAGTATCTGGACCTGCTGAATATGGAGCGTGCAGCTTCTCTGCTGGGGGATTTTGAGGGGAGACAGGAGGATTGCGTTTCACTGTCCGCAGCTCTCCTATCTGACCCTGTCAATATGGCATCTCCTGTGTAATGTATAATGTATTGTGTATGTAATGTCCTGTGTATGTCACAATCAGCTGTCTTAGGAAGTCATCCTTGCATCCCCCCCCCCCCCGTTATGTTTTGTTTAGTTGTTTGTTGTTACATGTTTTGTTGTATGTTCTGTTATCTGGAGCAATGTCTGTTTATTTTATAACTGAAAAATATATGTATATTTAAAAAAAAACTCTAAACGTTTTTTTAAGAGGACTTCCCAGTTGTGTTGTCAATATAAATCACTTTTAATTAAAGTTATGAATACAAAACCTTTCTGATGGTGTATAGGCACACTGTGGTGCATTCATTATGTGGATCTAAACTCTTATTCCACCAATGCAGTTACATACCGTGCAGTCACGCCCCCCACACCAGCAGTTGCTGTGGATGCAGGCCCAATGAATGACTAGGTCAAAGGGTCTTGAAAAAGTAATACCTTTGCTGATCCAGACGACAGCCTCAGCCTGCTGAACCCAGTCCACTGAAGACACGCAGATCTCTAGTCCTCTTCTGCTGCCATGGCCAAGCGAAAGTCTAAGAAGCCGCAGGAACAAGACTCCTCCATTGTGTTGGAGTCTCCAGTTTCAAAGCCTAAGGAAAGCATGAACACCTCTAAGGAAAGCATGAACACCTCTAAGGAAAGCATGAACACCTCCAAGGAAAGCATATACTCCTCCAAGGAAAGCATAAACTCATCCAATGGAAGCGTAAACGTATCCAATGAAAGCGTAAACGTATCCAAGGCAAGCGTTAACATGTCCAAGGGAAGCTTTAACTCCTATAGTTCACCAGCGTTGTTGTTCATCATTGTGTTCACAGTCGGTGCCTCTATAATAGGTTGGTTTTGTGTAGAAAATCAGCAAAGTGTCGAACAACTGTCGGAAACCTTTACATCAATGCAAAAGAAAATCACCAACCTGCAGCGGGCGGTGGAGATAACGGAATCACCACAGGTAACAGCTGATTTTTCACACGTTTTTCACGTACATTGTTTGAAGATGTATTATTTCAAAAGTCGTTTTACTCAATTGTTCACCAAGATAAAAAATAAATCGTTCATTTGTTTTTTTGGACTTAATTTCGGCGTTGGGGGGCTACTATCACAGCATGGCTTAGCAACAGCTGCGTTAAGCATATACCGGAAGTTGCTTGTTTGCCTTCAAAGTAAAGTAATTACATTTGTCGTTCTTGAAATTATTTTATATACATTAACAAATATATTCAAAGTATATGTAAATGACGACAATGTTTTAGTCACATCCAGTTGGTGTGATTTAGAGGATAATACGAATGAAAACGTGGGTCTGACTTTATTCTGAAAAGCTAACAAAGGAAGACATTAAGCATGGCGAGCTTGACACTGATAGTACCACCTGTTGTTATTTTTAGCATGGTTGGACTCTAAGCAACTGTACGGTCACGTTTCACTGACATTAACGTACTCTGCTGCTGCTTGGTTGATACAGGATATTAAATACTGACGAACCAAGGTTCCTTATCACATTGATTCAACAAACTAATATCATACATTGCTATACGAGTCGTGCTCATTAATTTGTAACGAGGTCAACCCATGTTCCCAGGAACTATGTTTTGTAAGGGCTAGTGGGCTACCAACACAGTTCAAGGGAAAAGGGGACATGGATACCATTTTGGAGATGTCCATGTTTTAAGTTAAGGAAACTGTCACAATGTAGGGCTTCAAAGTTTAAGATTTCAACAAGTTGCCAAGATATGCACCCTTTCCACAGCCCACAAAGTGAATTACCAGAGATATCAAAAGGATGATATGGTAAAAAGCAACATTTAATTTTGTAATGTCTTTATGAAAGGGCAGTGGAGGACGAGGCCATGTATGTTCATGTTGTACACACCCCTGCTACAGCGAAATGACTGCTCAGTCTAACATTGAAAAGACAAGAAGAGATTACAAATGTTTTAACTAACCAAATGTATTCTTTTATTTCTTCCACTCTCTGTAGACATATACAGGTTTTGATGTGGAGGAAAGGATCTTTGCCCTGGAGAAGGCTGAGGTTTCCCTGGCCACGTCAGAGAAGTTGAGGTACTCGGAGCTTGGGTCCCTAAGTGCTGAGCTGGACACCCGAATGGCCGAGTTAGAGCAGGTCACCCTGTCCGTCACAACTCTCCAGGCTATATTCAAAAACCAGAGTGAGGAGTTTGAGGCTGTGAAGGAGAGTGTAGCTACCGGTTTGAGCTCCAGCTCAGCACTGGCTGAAAATGTGGCTGAGCTGACCAATGCTGTGGCTAGTGCATCCTCCAAAGTTGACGAACAGGGTGCATCATTGGCCTTCCTTAATGTACAGCTAAAGGGACAAGCCTCAGATCTGAATGAGATGAAAGAGTTGATGCACCTCCATGATGCTGCCCTTCATACAAGCAACCAGGAAGTGGCTTCAATAAAGTGAGTTCAGTTAGAATTCAGAGTTAGATTTCTGCAACTCTGTACAATGTTTTTATTTGTTGACTTTCTGTTATGTGTGTTTGTTTGTTTTTATCAGGGAGAATGTCAAGACTAAGCAGGTCATGCATGCCTTGGCGTTAGAGGCGATGCTCACTTCTGTGCAGGTTATTTTGGATGAGCAGTTTGACACTACCACGACCCTCCGCACCAGCATCATGGCTAAAATGCTGACTTTTAACAGCCAGGTAAACCCTTTTGCTTTTTAAATTGAAAATGTTTAATTCCTTTTTAGAATGAATTAATAACATATCTTTCCATCTCAGTTGGGGAATGATCCTTCTTGGCCGGTGAATCTTGATGATGATGAGGACGAACTTGAAGCAGAACTCGCCACCACTGCAAAGGATGCCACTGAGGTGCAGGGAAAGCTAGAAGACGTAGAGGAGGGAATGCAGGAAGAACAGCCACTTGGACAGGAAGTAGAGAGTGACATTACAGAGGAGCAGGAGGAAGAAGAAATTACTCAAGAAGATGAATTCACAGAACAGGAGCTTTTGGAAGTGGTTGCTTTGGAAGAGGATGTGTTCAAAAACATTTTTGAAGAAGAAGAGTCAGATGACTCAAATCAGGAGGTCTCCATGGATGTAAATGAGGAGGATGGGTAGTTGTACTTGAAATGCTTCAGTAAATTATTAGTCTTATTGAGATGAATGGAAACCCTTTTTTACACGCCACACACTTTCTTGCAAATGATTTGTAGTATTTGTTATATTCTACTTGGGTTTTTCTAAACATTACTAAAAACTTGAACAATTTTGTAGAGCTTTGATAAATATTTATGTAGTCTTATGTCAGTCATGTTTGAGGTTAATATACATATGGTCTTGTTGTACAATCTGTTTTCTGAATGGGCATTTTGAAAGATACATTGGGGAAAAAAGAATGGAAAATCTATAAACTGTATTTCAACCGTTTACACATGACAAGATTAAGCTATGAAATGTCAATTGTTTTTTGCAATATGAAAGAGGAAACAAATGTGACTGTACTTGCAGCTTGTGATTTAACACAAGGGCACACACGTGTAGTGCCTCTCTCCATGGAGTTATTTATGGTTCAAGTGCACATGCTGTACATATGGGCACAGCACATATGATTCCATTGGTACATACTGTTCCCTTGTCATGAAGCTCTTTTGTAAAAAGGTTAAAGTACTATTTTCTGCCAGCAGATGGTGCCTTATAACTCCTAATGATAAGGAATAATCAACAACGTTGAAAGAGGAACCAAAAAACTATTTTTTTTTAAAGAAAGGGGAAATCAAAGGGGTTAAGGACTATTTTTCTTGGTTTTGAGACTATTGAAAAGGAAATTCTGCTTGCAGCAACTCATGTCTTCCTAAATTAGCCTTCTCATGTTGTGTAGACAGCTCCCGATCTGTGACACCCTGTCTAAACTTAAACTGACAAACGGCAACCACATGATGTTCAAAGGAAATGGCTCTTCGGTTTGCCATGAAGTTACTTAAGGAAGATGTGAATAAATACTCAAGTTTGGAAAGAGAACAGATGGCGTGTTATATTTTCTTTAATCTGTATTAATAAATGCACTAATTTCTCAGGACAAAACCATGAGTGGGAGCTTGATGGCGACATACAGCTCTAAAAAAAAAGAGAGACCACTGCAGCATTATCAGTTTCTTTGGTTTTACTATTTATAGACCATGTTTGAGTAAAATATATGTGTTACTCTATAAACTACTGAAAACATTTCTCTGTGTTGGGATTCAACAGACACTAGCTGCCACATACAGTATGTAGAGATTGAGATTCAAGAAAAATGTGGAGCGTTCTCATTTTCTTTCAGAGCTGTATGTTAAAAGTAGACACACTTATCTGATATTTAAAGGCAAGAACTAATGGGCGTTTTAAATGTCAAATACATATTTTTAAAATATCTTTAAAACTGATTTAAACTGAAGCTATACTGTACATGTCATGCTTAAACAAAACTAATGCAGAATTATGTTTGGCAAGACAGGGGAAATAAATCTTTATATCCTAAATTGTGCTGTGGAACTTCACATTGCTGGAGGAGTAACTCATCAGTGTCACTGTAAGAATATAAATCTGTGAAATAATTGGTCTTATTTGTGTCTGTAATGAGATTACAGCAGGTGCAGACCGAGACAGCCAACTCTGAGTCAGCCCTGATTTACTTAAAGGCCAACAGACACAAAATGATGCACATGTTATGTCAACATTTTAAATTTAGACCCTTACCATATATATTTTTAGCAACTTTTCAGAGTATATGCCATGAAATATATTTGTCCTAGAGTACCTTTCAGGAGAATAATTGCAAACAAATGAGCTTACAGAATGATTAAAACTGAGCATTTTTTAAGATTGACAAACATCATATGTGTACTTCGTGGCACAATTCAAACGGGGTTTGAATGCAAATGGACATTGACTTCAATACATCATTTGTCAGAAATAAGGTCCCATGGTTCGGAAGTAGATGGGCGGGACTTCGCCTCTCAATAGCCAGAATTTGTAGTTCTCGGGGGGAGTTCGGGTCCAGTTTTTTCAGTCTGTCGTGGTTTCGTTCCATTTCAAAGAGCTTTACGCTCGGCGTAACCTTGGCGCACTGCCACTCCAACATCCAATCCCAGAGCTTGAAGATTAATCACAAGGTTTGTCGCAAAGCGGACAGGCGTCGTCACAACAATAGCTGGGGATTGTGGGTAGTGTAGTCTCTTTGGCACTCCACATGAGAAAACAAGTTGTTTCTCAGAATTGAAGGGGAAAAACACAAAAGCATTTTACACAATTTAAACCTATCAATGTCGTTTAATTAACAAAGGTAATCTGGTGTTTTTGAGTTGATGAGTAGTGGAGATATCACTGTCAAATCAATCGACAGTAAGGAGAATACTTACTTCCGGGTGTACAGTTCTCCGTTATCCAATGGGAATGGACGCTCACATTGCCTTTAAGAGCTGCCGACATAAACGGGTGCGGTGCTTCCATGAGCGTCAAATACCGCCGCCGATGGGAATACATTGCAATCAGTTGAAAGCTCTTTGCGTCCGTTTATGAAGCTGAAGGAACCTCGGCGCGTCACAACTGGACGCCACGGGACCCTGACCAAGCGTCGCTCCTGGACGCTTAGGGAGTGAGAGTGTGTTTCCAAAGTCTCAATGAACATGGCTAATTGCAATGTTTTCGTAAAGCTGCCGGAGTTTTGGGAGAATGCCGTGGCGGCGTGGTTTGCACACGTGGAGGCACACTTCGCCTGCCGGCAGGTCCGTGACGGGGGCCTGAAATACTACCATGTCGTAGCAGCGCTAGGAAGCTCCACTTGGTCCAGGTTGGTTGGATTTATCGCAGACCCCCCACACCATGGCAAATATGAGGCGATTAAGGCCCTTCTCCTTAAGACATTTAGCTTATCTGCTAAGGAGAGGGCCCGCCAGATACTTGACATTCAAGGCCTAGGAGACAGCAAGCCATCTCAGCAGTCAAGTATCTGGCGGGCCCTCTCCTTAGCAGATAAGCTAAATGTCTTAAGGAGAAGGGCCTTAANCTGCTTCCCCTTTCGTCCTCTCCCCTCTCCTTCCTCGTTAGCTTCTCCTATCTTACTCAGCAATATGCAAAAATCTGAATTGTTCACTTCCCTTTATTATCCTATCTGCCTTTGGTATGTCTTTCTGGTTGGTCAGCTTTCTGACAGGACTATAGCAACGTTGCTTTTTTCTCTATCTCGCTCCTTCTCTGTCTCTGTGCCCTTGTCTCTTTCACTCATCAATTCCCTCAAACAGTTTGGTTTTCAACTCCTCTTCTTCTCCCTTGTTGTGTAGTCTCTTTCTTTAGTCTCGTGTTTGCTTCAACGTATTCACTTCTCTTCTATATCTCCAGCACTCCTCTAAATGGTCAGAAACAGATTTATATAAGCATCATTAACTTTTGAAAATGTTTTGAGCGTAACATTTGAAAGAGGTTTGATAACCTTTCTGAAGCTTGCAATTCATCTAGCTGTAGCAACTTTATAAAAACACCCCAAGCTCAAGTATTGTATTTTTATTGACTTTCCTTTATGCATTTTAGACTCTATTTGCCCCACTCCCTTTATCGTATGGCTGTAGTTACGATTCACTACCAATATTAAGATTTGACATGCAAAACATAGAATGAGATAACAAGACACAAAGTGATAATCATGATCCTTTATTTGTCCTTGCTTGGTTTACACAATCTAAATGTTGTTCCTGTTCATTTTCTAAATGTTGCTTCATAATCATCTGGCTTCTCACTCTTTCTTCATGACTGTGAACAGAAGTTTTATTGCTAACAAAGCGTTTAGAGGCTGAAATGCTCCCAGATTCAACGGCCGCTCATGAACTCAGTGTGTGAGTTGTGTGAGAAGTAAAGAGACACTGAAACAGAAAGCAGACATTTAGCTTCCAAACTGAAGACATGTCAAGTTTCAAAAGCTTCATATTCTTGCTGGATCAAGTACATTTTCTTTCTGTATTGCCTCTAAATGGCACAGACTGCAGTAGGTAGAGAGTGATCCACTGGCAGCAAATAAGTGATTCCTAAATCAAGAAAATTCTTGAAGAAAATCTCATTGCAGAAAAAATCTCCCGCTACTGCCACGCTTTTATCTTCCAAATCAAATGAGTTGTGAGGACATGAAAGTCAGATTCGTTGCCAAAATCCTATTGTCTCTTTTTTCTGTTACATTGTGTTGTAGCCCTTCTTCTTCTTTTATTCTTCCTTCCTGTTCCTTGTCGATCTGGACAGCTGGTAGTTTTAGCTCAGCGTCCCACGAGGGAAATCTTGACATTTGTGTCTAACACTTTTCGTGCCTCGCAACAAACACGAGCTCCATTTACAATTTAAAACACCCTCATTATCTTGTACTTGGTATTCATCCCGAGCAAGAATAAAACAAACAACAACATGATACTGATTCTTTCTGCATATGAATGTTTGGACCAAAAACCTTCATATGAAATGATATCTTGTACAGTTTTGTTTTCAGATTACTAGTGCAATGGTCATTCTTTTAAAAGTACTATATTTCTGTCTTGAATGTAGTGAATTAACACTACATACACAAATAGCAAGTAAAGTAGAAAATAAATACCTTATACTTTAGCTTAACTAATGTATGATACATGTGTTTGGTATTTCCACAGCTGACTCTTCTGCTCGGTCACTCCTCTGACGTTCAATGTGTCCGCTGTTTGTCCCTGCCATTTGTCATTCTGCTGTTTGGTTCGGTGTGAAGCTGTCCAGAATGTAGTGGTGCTGAAAATCCTGAAACAGTGTTCAAAGCCAACCAGGAATCACCAGGGACAGATCTGTTGACTTGCTCAGCTTGCACTTCATCAGCGCTGCATCACTGATGCTCTGAAGTGGCTCCTCGGCTCTCTCATGGGTGATGGCAGGAGCAAAAGAGTGCATAGTTTATTGCATGAAGAGCTGCTGTCTGTATAGAAGACGTGCATTGACAAGCAGTCAGCTGTATAGAGTTAGAACAATTCATTAGTTCACTAAGCATATTAATGTCTTTCTAAAGTACCTTTGCTTGAAGGAAACACTGTTGGGTATTTCGATTTCCACAGATGTTGATTGGTCTCAGCAGCTATAGTGTAACAAGACTTGGAAATCTTATTCATTGACAATACAGAAAAAAATACAATATACTGGACATAAAGTTCAACCCTTGTTTGCTTGGCTAAGTTTCTACTCATGGAAGCTTTAGAAGAAAGGTAATGGCAACATTAAAATCTTATTTTATGATACGATATATCAATGTGCTCAATAACAGTCCTGAAAAATCTTTGTCTAATAGACTTTGGTATTGCTTGTGTAAAAGTGGTAACACAAGGTAGGTCAAAAACAAGGCCAAAACACAGCAATTCCTCCTCTAGGAATAACCATGCCAAATGTTATGATAATCTACCCAGTTATCGCCCTACATTTTGGTCATACAAAAATAAAGATATATAATGGGATCAGTGCATGTGTATCAAATGGTCTCTCTACTACAATGGCACACATATCAACATAAACAGTTTGTATTATCTTTTTCCAATGTTTTATTTTCAAGGTGTTGATGTTAATGGGGCCTTTTTTTCTACTGTATACAATACACAGTGCCACCTCACACATGTATGACCATATTGCACTATAGTATAACACTAACGCCATAGTACAACTGCTCAGACTGAAAAACTGACATGTTTCATGCGTCAGGAAGCATCTGAGGCTTCAATCATCTTGGCGTTACAGCACAGGCAGGATGTCTGAGTGTCTAACAAGAGTCTGAAAGCTGAAAATGAACCGCGCAAGTGGGATCATTTATACATGAGGTGTGAATAGTATGTCATCATGCGGTGAGGTTTAGAAGTACTGTATGTCTGTAACTGCAGCAGTCTGTTCCCATAGAGCCCAGAGTGTGTTGGAGTGATGCGGTTCGGAGGCCTGGATACAGCTGGGGAGGAAACTTACAAACTTCTGCAGTTCTTCTTTGTCTCTGATTTATTCATGTCT